GGGACTACATACAGTACCTCTATAAAACCAGCATTTAAACAGTATTTAATAATAATAATCATTTCAGACTGTTAGGGTTATGGTTGTCAATGACTTGTAAAAATATATACAGTACAGTATATTTCCAATTTTTTAAATCCCCCGTTTATTTAATGATCCAGTTTGGTGGCGCTCAAAACATCAATAAACACTTTTAAAATGTTTTTTTTAATTTATTAATTTTAAATTTCATCAGATTGTAGTTCTAGAAGACTATATAAACATTCCAAAAAATGAATACTCACAGCCACTTTGTAGGCAGCTTCTATGTAAAACACCATGTTCTGGATAAAGGCGACCTCGTCCAGGTTTGAGACGATACGCAGGCCTGTGTGATACAGTTACACACTCGCTCAGTAACCCGTGCTCAGCGTGGTTTTGTAGTAAAACAATGGTTACATGTCAGAGTACCAGAGGCCGTCATCTCTGCCAGCATCAGCAGGTAAATGGAAGTAGCGTCCACCTGCAGGTGTCCCCACTGGTCGTCTCCAACCACGGTGGCGCAGGTCGGAGTATCGTACTTGGCATGCAAGCAGTCCTGGGTACTTTGTGTGTGTTTAAACTTTTCCACCTTGGCCACCTGAAAACATCGACATACACACATACAGTAGTTCACCAGCACAGTATTAGAAACTGAGAAACGTACAAACATACATACACACAGTGCTTTATCATCTATTTTCTCCTAAATGGGATCTAAATAAAAGAAACCTGGTCTTTAAAAGAGACAAAGAACTAGTGAGTAAACAACTACTTTTTTAACAAAAGTAAACAATGTCATTACAAATCTGATCAGCCAGCCTGTGACGCTGTAGTCTGTTGTAACCTACCTGTCTCATCATGCACTGAAGAAGGCCCTGCATCAGTTTCACCACACTCTGCCAACAAACGCACACAGACGCACAATTGATTATATATGAAACTGTAATATATATAAAACACACTGACAACATATACACACACACCACACACCTGCTCCAGTTCATAGGCCTTGGCCTTGTCCTCGTCACGGTCTGCGTTCTTGCGGTAGGCCATGCCCAGCCCCCACACTGCCAGGATACTGTACACATTGTCCCTCACCCAGGCGTCCTTCTTCTGGGTACTGGCTGGTAGAAGTCCGGTCACTGGGTTCTGAAACACATACAGTGAACGTACAAGTGACATGTGCTCTTAAACTGTAGTGAGGGCAGCAGACCAGGGACTACATACAGTACCTCTATAAACCAGCATTTAAACAGTATTTAATAATAATAATCATTTCAGACTGTTAGGGTTATGGTTGTCAATGACTTGTAAAAATATATACAGTATAGTATATTTCCAATTTTTTAAATCCACGTTTATTTAATGATCCAGTTTGGTGGCGCTCAAAACATCAATAAACACTTTTAAATGTTTTTTTAAATTTATTAATTTTAAATTTCATCAGATTGTAGTTCTAGAAGACTATATAAACATTCCTCCTGGTTTATCTATTCCTCAGCCATTCTTTGTGGGATGAACAGTTAAAAACAACCACGTCTCTGAAACTATATCAGGTATGTACACTCCCTGGCACCGTTATCTCACGGCGGTGGAAACCTGAGGGTCACAGTTTGGACGAGCTGTTGACTGTGTCTCAGTATAAACTCCACCGCTGACAGATAAAAGTGCATAGTTTCCTGCTCCTCAATCTATTCCAGGGCCTGGACTTTGACCGGGCCTTGTTTATAGCCAAGCAGAGCGCGGTCAGATTGAACCTCCCTAAACTTCTATTGGCTGCAAAACATCTGCAAGACTAAATGTCTGAATGTATTCCTTCTTCATACGTCAATATATAATTAGAATGTACACATCATGATGATCATGGTCAATATATAATTAGAATGTACACATCGGGGTACAATCAAGTGATAAAAATGTGGTATCCAAAGGCAACGTGCTACACATTTATCCAGTTTGAACATTTTTATACAGTGTTATATATAAATATGTTAAATGGGTGTCGTGTCAGATTACTGCAAACTGGAATTATATATATAAGCAAAAATAATTGATTTGTGAAATTTAATAATTTAGAAAATGTAAACGCATGGGCAGAATAATACGCAAAGTATATCTGATAATTCCGACGTTCAACCACATATTGCTAATTATTGCATAATTACTCTCCTACTGTGGAAAAAGTATCGTTTTCAAGGAAAATATAACATGTAATGCTTTTGAATCACTTTTAAGTCTTTTTGTAGAAAACAATTAACTCGTTGTAACGTGTATTTTGTTTTTATTTGGAATGTAGGAGAAAGTGTAACATAGAACATGATCTTGCTGTAATACTATAAAAACACATATCATCCTTTCACTCCTGTCTGACCAGGATTAGATTTATATAAAACACCAATGAGTTCTCAACATAAGGACGCAGCAGGGATTCAGCCCGGTGTGCACTGGGTGAAAAGAAATCCAGAACGCTGTAGCTTCAAGTGTGATCACACCTACAGTACACATCAGTGTGTACATGCATACAGCATGTATATTTTACCCCCTTCTGACGCAGCTCTCCATATTTATCCAGGCTCGTGGCCAGGCATGGTGAGAAACTCGGGGTAAGTGTTTGGCCGGCGGCCTGAAATCCAAGCCCAGAGTTGAAAGATTCCCTCCACCCAGTGTACAACAGCTCAGCCAGCTGCACCGTGTACATCACTATGACAGTATTCATGATATCACACATTAGTAACTATACTAAATAAGTGTGTGAACAACACGGTGTCTAGGTCGGATGATACGTCACACCAAACACATAAAGGTATTTTAAGGGTAACAGGTATTTGGTTTAGAACTTCAGATCAGATTTCCCTCCTCACATTCTGGCTTTGTGTACACTAAAACCTGTACAGAATATTGGTGTAACATACACTTGGTTCAGAAATACCTGTAAATGAGCTACCAAGGAGATCTGTCTGATAAGCTCATTATCCTGCTGGTATAGGAGAGCAAATAAGGTCACACTTACGTAAGACTTCTAGGTACTGTAGAGAAATGTGAACTGAAATACAGGGCATAAATATGGTCATCTAGTTACTCAGGGTGATACATGATTATATATAGTATATAATTATAGTCTACAAAAACGTGTGGACTCAGGAGTTTGGAAATCATTCTGTTTTAAAAGGCATATTAAATATCTTGTAATATTTCAGCATCTCTTCCTCTACATGTTTGGACAGGCCAAGATGACGTAAGAGATATTCCACCACAACATGTTACCAAAACTGGAATTAAAAAATTATAAATTCTTGACAGTGTACTTTTAAGAGCAACCGAGATATGTCAATAACAACAACAACAGGAACCCACCTTTGGCATAGATAGACCATGTAGGTGGTCGGCTAGGGCGCCACCTGTTGGCACCCAAGCCAGCAGGTGGCGCCTTAGAAACAAAACAAATACAACCAAAGTTGAAATAAAATCAGTAATGGTAATGGTTTGTAGCCACCATTGGAGCCCTGTCGTTATCTTGAAATTAATACAAAAAAGTAACGAAAAAAATAAACAAAAAAATCATTTCATTGAACTGGGCGGCCAAACCAGGGCACCGAAATGACCGGAACCGCCCCTGACAACAACACCATATTAAAGGCTGGGCAAGAATACGTTTATGGTTAAACTGAAACAAATTAGTGTCCAAGCAACGTGAGGTAATAATGAGGTCTATAACTGGGACTGGTCTCAGGTCTGAGTCACACTGCGTATAGAACTGCACTCACCTGATGGCACAGGATCGTCTCTTGGACCAGCCTGGCATATCCATCCAGTCTGACTCCGGAGTTACTGCGGCTCCTCATCCTCACCGATAATCACACACTCACTTACATGTACACACAACAACGACAACAAGTGTCCATGACATCCGTCGACACACTTGCTGACGGAATTCTCAGTTTACATTGAAAACACACACACTATCCCGTCATAAACCAAACCTCCCACTCTGTCTCTGACTCTGCAGAGGCTTCTCGCTGCTAAAGCTCGTGGCCGTGTAGCATCCAGATTCGACAACATGTAATATTCAACTCAAGCCCGTATAAACACACACATACGCACTTCAACAGACACACTTACACACGCTTCCGCCTGGGCATACGTTCTGCTTCAGTGTGTGAAAGCAGGAGGCGGAGATGACAGTTCGTGAGCCTGCATTCCGAGATCCAGTCAGTGAACGGAAAATATCAATGATCCTGCGGTTCTGTTGTTTACCACTAGGGGGTGCCAAAATACTTTTATATTTTTCCTTGATTGTTGACGCATAAACAATCGCTAAATGAAATTCGCAATGAAATGGCAGTGACGAGTCCATCATATGTCCAGTGTTGGCTCAAGAGAGGGCAAAGGTGCAGCATTAGGTACCAACAAAGGGGGCGCGGGTTACCGCCTTGTACCATATAATTTTGCATCCTTTACTGAGACTACAAATAGCGTCGCCATTAAGGAGGGAGGACATTTCTCTGATAGAAGCTGTTAATCTGTGCCTTGAACTGCATTGCCCAGCCATAACAATTAATCATAACAAAAGAAAAACACAAAGATTTTAAGGATTTTACCATTTGTATATTTATTATGCGTTAACCAGAACATTTGACATAATGAAAATTCATCCTTTTTCTGTTGTTTTCTAGTCTAAATAGTCTAGAAAGTAGCACAAAATGGACACTGATATATTTCAAATTTGTTTTGTGTGTTTCCGTACACTTTTAGTAGAAATGCTTCTATTATTTTTCCACAACAAAAAATATCCGGAAGTTATAAAATTCTTGAGAAACTATAAAACTTCCATGTCTTAAAAATCGCAGAAATATTTCCCACTACACAGGAAGTGTTCAACTGAAGTTCTGGGACGCTACAGAAGACGTCACAAATAACGGAACGGATTTTAGCCAATCAGAATAAAGCTCTGGGACTTTTTCAGCTAATCACGGCTCTGCTTTCTGCACCGCTGCCCTCATCAACAACCAGCCCATACTCGAGACTTTAGCATCGGGGTAGGGTAGACGCTAACACTGAGCTCCCCCAAAACACTCACACACCCTCTTCGGGTTGTATGTTTTACTTTATCAGTTAATTAAACTGAAACTCGACTGACTGGTTCAGTGAGACGAAGGACTGTTTAAAGGTAATTGTATGTGTTCATTTCCGTTCTGCTTGTAGCTAGCTAAGCGTCGCAGGAGGGGGCGCAAATGAAACCGAACGTGTTGTTGATGTTAAATATGTGATCATTTAGAGACATTAGCTCACGAAAGCTGATAAACTTTTTACAAACGTCACAAAACAACGTTAAATGCGCTGCCGCGATGACCAAACGCGACCACGCCTGCTGTTCTTTGCACCATCATCAATAATTCACTCGTCCACATTTTTCTCGGTTCATCGTTTCATTAGAAATACATTTCTTCTGGTGTGTCATGAAGTATGGACTGAGAGACAGCACTTATACATTAGAAACAAGTCAATATAACTACGGAAGCTTTTATTGGTCATATCTGATCGGATATTTAATTTTTTTAATTCATTTGTGGGTTTATAAAAACCTTAATTATTTTTTTGATAATACCATAGTCGATGCAGTACTTTCCGTATTACATAAGTACCCCGCTGTTATTATAACATTTTTCTAAAATAATTCTAGAAAAAACTATATATACTTATATATAATATTACTGTAAAGTACAGTAACCGTAAAGTAAAACTGCATTGTAACCAAGATAATCTCTAGAAACTGGAGCCACGAGTTTCTAGAGATTTAATCCATGTTACTGTAAATATTGACTCTTTGATAGTAAATGTAAAATTGCCATAGTGTAACTTTCGGAAAGTCATTCCAGAAAAGTTTTTAAACATTTGGTTTTGTATGTCACTCGTTTTAACTTTACTGAAGCAGTAGTTAACAACAGGGTAATATTTCCCTGAACCTTGTTTCCCAGATGCAGTTCATGCTGTTGTTCAGCCGTCAGGGGAAGCTGCGGCTACAGAAATGGTACGTGCCTCTGTCTGACAAGGAGAGGAAGAAGATCTCACGAGACCTGGTCCAGACCATACTGGCCAGGAAGCCCAAAATGTGCAGCTTCTTGGAGTGGAGGGACCTCAAGATAGTGTACAAACGGTAGGATAATGATGAAGAATTACAACAGAAAAAAATAATAAAAAGAGAGAAAAACTTTGACTCTCTTCAGGTTTTACCTTTGACTTGTCTTTGGTCATTACAGTTGCAGAGAATTATTTAAATATCTAAGAATCTTGTTGTGTTAAAATAACAAAAATACTCATTGTAAACAGTCATGTATAAAACAATACATATCCACATTTACCATTTATATAAATTACAAGCCTTTTGTAATTAAAAACTTCTAATTTAGATTCTGACTAATCCTTTGAGCTGACTTTATTTTTTAAATAAAACATAATTATTTTATAATTTTCCATTTACCTGTATTAAAACTTTAAGATTGTTCTGTTGTAATGGTGATTTTATTCCATGTCTTAAATATAACAAACTCTGGGTAAATCCCAGGAGAAGATATATTTGCAAGAACAGCAAATAAAGCAGGTACGGAGCTGAAGCTGCGACCCAAATATCAGCAGCCTGTGACGTGTCCTATAAAAAGTTAATATCCAACAGGTTTTATCAGAGTGTGTTGCCAAATTTGTATTTAAGCACAAAGTTTCCTGTTTTCTAAACTTGTGTCGACGGTGACTGCTGGAGTCTTTAAAGACTTTTCTTTGGTGCATAAACGTTGAATGTGCTACAGAATAGATGGCATGGCATGGAGCTATGCTAAGCTAACAAGATGACAAACCGTGTGCCTAACATGGATCTGTTGTTGATTTTGCAGATATGCCAGTCTGTATTTCTGTTGTGCCGTTGAAGATCAGGACAACGAGCTGATCACGTTGGAGATCATCCACCGATATGTGGAGCTGTTGGACAAGTATTTTGGAAGTGTGAGTTTCTTTACTGTCGTCAATGAAGGAACAAGAATATTATGTTGTTTTAGTCGGACGAGAATCTGCCCTAATCCGTCGTTGTCTTCTCAGGTGTGTGAGCTGGACATCATCTTCAACTTTGAGAAGGCCTACTTTATTCTGGATGAGTTCCTCCTCGGCGGAGAAGCTCAGGAGACGTCTAAGAAGAACGTGCTGAAGGCCATCGAGCAAGCCGACCTGCTGCAGGAGGTGTGTAGTTGAATGCCAGCTGATTCATAGGGTGTTTTTTTGTCCTTTTAAAATCACTGAGCATTGATCCACCTTTGTTTTTTAAAATATTATACTGTTTGAGAAATTATTTTATTCTATAAGTATTGAGAAAGTGAAAGTATCCTTACTAGGGAAGTAACGATGCATCGTCGATTGGTTAAAACCCGATACAAATGTGTGACAGTTCACAACGGTTGAAATAAAAAATGAATCATACATCAAAAATTCACTGGTCATAGCATGACACTACACATTCTAGAACAGTAGGTGGCGGTATGTGTCAAATAACGTTGGTTGTGCCCTTCTATTAAACCAAGACTTCAGGTCTCTACAGAGCCTAAGTGACGTTCAGGTGTTGATCAGAACGTGGGAAGAACTTGTTCCACAGACACCAACAGTGTTCCTGTAAAGAAAGGAACTCTTTCCAGTTCATATTTGTTTATATTCTTTTGTTGTTTAATATATTGACAGTTAGCCAGGTCCATACGACCAGAGCAGTTTGACTTTTAATCACATTTTAATGTTTCTTAGACTCATTAGCTCAGTATTTAATTAAACTTGAGCAAAAGAAGAAATGCCTTTGAGTTAGCGTCACATAAAAAATCGGTAACAAGTCACCTCGCAAGCATCTGAACCTGCTGTCGTGTTTATTCCAGGCGTGCGGTGTTTGATTAATACTCCTGTCTGACTCTTGTGCCAGTCCAGAACAACAGTCTGCCTTCCTGCACGTTTGCATTGTGGTGGTTCTCAGTGGACAGAATGAGTGCTCAGTGATTTATTTTTAGTGAAGCACGCAGCTCTATTGTTGTCGCAGCGACGAGGAACATGTCGGACCAGCTGTTAGTCCTGCTTCTGTCAGACTGGCATTAACTTAAAATATTATCTATTACTGATTTTTAGTGCACTCCTTAACACTGATCCACCATTACGTCAGTGGTTACCAAACTTTTTCCCCAGCGCCCCCTATTGTAGGAACATTGTCAAGCCCCTACATGTCGAAACTCCACTGAGCTTTTGAAAAAAAAGAAAATTTTCTTCAAACAGTGAAGACCTAGCCTTTTGATTCCCAGCATGTTGATGTCCATTTATATGAAATATGATGTCTTTAGCTTCTCTTAGAGCAAAATGTGGTTCACAACAAATCTAGATTAGTGGTTCTCAAGTACAAATCATGAGCGTCATTGTTGTGGACTGCAAACTCCTTCCAGGAGACAGGAAGGAGGCGGAGGGTACTTTGGTTCCGTACATGTGATAAATGGATAAACGTTGTGTTAAAGCCCCATGTTGTATTGAGCGTCAAAGTCTAAAGTCTGACAGTTTAACAACTTCCAACAAAACAAACTCTTTTCTCCCTCTGCAGGAGGCCGAGGCACCGAGGAGCGTCCTAGAGGAAATCGGCCTGACATAAGTCATCTCCCGTCTCAGTGTTCTTCCCACGTGGATCCGACAACCCGACCACTCTACACCTGTCTCCACCTCGTCAGTGTTGTGTGTGTGTGTGTGTGTGTGTGTGTGCGCGTGCGTATGTGTACTGTATTACTCTGTAGTATATTATTATCCTGTAACGTCCTCTAAGTGTGGTGCCAGCTGTGGTGTTATTGTGTCTCCTTATGTAGCAGTTCCCTGGCTGTATCCTTGCAGTACTGTGAGCAGACGTCACTTCACTTCTTAAAAGAAAAATCCACAGAGAACAATGTAGCAACAACGTATTAAAAAAAACAAACAAACTCCAGCATCACCTGATGATCGCTTGTCATCACTAACAGGAAAGTTACTTGTGCTGTTTGGCTTAAGAAAATATTTCAAGGTGCTGTTGTAGCTGCAGTCGATTCATTAAACTACTGTAGAACTGTTGATTCAGTCACAGAGCTGAGTACCTGCTACTTAATGGGGGGAACGGACCATCACCAAAGTCGTTAAATATCTGGCTAGCTGCTATAATGTAGCCTATTAGCTGCTGTTCAATTAAAACTGGATCATCATTATCTGTTTTCAACCTAAGGGTTGCGACCCTACATGGGGTCACCTGCTATTCAAAGGGGGTCGCCTGAAATATCTGGTAATTGATTCAGTTTAGGTTCTAGTTTTGATACTTAGCTACTTGAAATTATTGCTTAAAAACATATGTGGTGGCTGGAAATTCTGAAAATACAGAAATAAAAAAAAAAGAACTAAAATTAGCTCAATGATAATCAAAGGCTAGCCCAGATGATGCTGGATACGTTCAAAAACATTTCAAATATGGACAACTGAGCTACTAAAGACTAAATGATTGGTCACAGCCCAGTGGAAGCTAAAACCTAGGAAGAAAAAAAATGTTAAAATGCCAAAAATAAGGGAAATAAATTTAGATTGTACCGAGAGTTTAAATTTAGCTAAAAAAAGTTTTTGTAGGTTTTCAGTCTTCCACATTGTCACAAATATACGTAAAATACTAATACATAACACAAATTTGATTTCAAAGGTTCTAACTTTTTGAATATTTCAGGGTTGTGATCTTTTTATTAACATTAGATTGTTTTGTTTACATTGTTTACTACTGTGCTCCACAGCTCAGCTCTGTGACTGACATATAACGGCGATACCATCACGACTGTCAACTGACGTTCTTGTTAATAAGGGAAATACTGATACACTGTTACATTCAGCCCAGCGTTTGACTTAAATATCATTTTTGTACAATGTTGGTGATTCCTTTTCAACTTTTTTTTTTACCTTAAACATCTGTTACTGTCATTTCTGTGGTTCAGTGTCATTTCTCTTCTTTAATAGTCGTCCAACCAAGGCTTAAGATCAAAGTTTACAAAGACAAACCCCCTCCCCACTCCCAGGTCAGGTTGCATGTTAGGCACCCAAATAAAAGAGAATCTATTTTATGTGGTTATGACACTTTGGCTTAAAGACTTAACTTATGACCAAAGAACACTGTGTTTTACTTTCTTGATAAGTAATGAAGGCTAACGTGGCAGAAAATGATGTCTCGCAAAAAGGGAATGTGGATTTCTTTTTTCTTTTTTTTACCAGATAATCAGTGTTTGGTTTAGCGCTCTATTCAGAGATCAGTGTTCACTCAGCGTGTACAGGGAGGGGAACACAGGAAGTAAAGCTGCACATGAAGACACAGACGCTTTTAAAAATCCGCAATCTTAAAACTCATCATTGATTTCAGTGAAAGGTATCATTTACTTTACTTTTGTATTTTCCACTGCCAATATGTTTGCCAACATTTGTTACAATGGGAAGTTATTAACAATAAATGTATGCAGTAAATATAAACACATGTGGAATCCTTGTTTTATTTTGGAGCAAAATATACATATTTCTATAAACATATATCCATGTAGCCTTACATGCATACATACTGTATATGCACATATACTGTATGTGTAAACATGTATTTGTATATACGTATATATACAAACACGTAAATATACACATGTATATGTCCATATCCATACATATATACACACTAAAGATTAATAAATAATGGGGAAAAAAACACAATTTTGTGGTCAATATGTTTAAGGAAGTACTGATTTGTTCATAATTGTTCAGTTCTCTCCTGTTGTTGATCATCACATTGGGATCTGATTCTTTGAATCACTGTTCACATCTACATCAGTGTTTTCATCAACCTGTTCACTGTGACTTGCTGCAGGGTTGTTGTCGTCAACGTCCTCTGTGTCTTTCTCCTCTTCTGAGTCACCAGATGAGGCGCTCTCGTCAGACCTGTGGCTCTTCTTCTTGCGTTTCTTCTTGCTTTTCTTCTTACTCTTTTTGGAGTGTTTGTGCCGAGAGCGCAGGTTTCCTTTATCTGATTTCTTGGGGCTTTTTTCTCTCCTTCTTATCTCTCTTACACTCTCTGTCCACCGGCTTCTTGACCTTTCTTGGGATTCTACCCGTGTGTCTCCATCTTTGTCTCTGTCTTCACTTCTGTTCCTGGACTTGCGCTCTCTGTCCTTTTCTCTACTTCTCGTTCTTCTTCTGTCTTCTTCTCGGTCTCTACTTCTACTCCTAGTTCTGTCTCTTCTGTGCAGATATCTGGCGTTCCTTCTGTCACTGTGTCTCGACCACCATTTGTCCTCCTTGTCCTGGTGGGACATCCTCCTCTCTCGACTCCAGCTGTCCTCACGTCTACTGTGTGATCTGTCTGATCGTGTTGGACTTCTGCTGCCGTGACGCTGTCTCCAGGAATAATCGCCGTGCCGCTCCGACTGACTCCCATCTCTGCGACTTCCCCAGCCGTTGCGGTCTGGTGACAGGTGGAGGTCCCGGTCAGCCTCCCAGAATTCATTGCCAGGGTTGCGAAACACATGCAGGAAGTTACAGTGCTTTCCTTTGGGACACTTCCTTCTGTCAAACAATCCTGATACACAAAGTGAAAACATATATAAATAAAATATATAAAACATTATATTTACATATTTATACAATGTACAGTATATGTGAATGTATGTACATAGATGTCCATATATAAAATGAATACTGCTCTCAAAGTATTCCTGGTCAAAGACACTCACCACATATTGCATTTTTCCATCTGTTGACGGGACAAAGCTCACAGTGAAGCTGACGGCCAGCATACCACCGCCCGTTGAATTTGATGAAGGCATCTTTACACTCTTCCTCACTAGACAAAGAGTAAGATACAATATAAGAACCCGAGGACAACAACCACGGAAATGTAGTAATCATGTCGAATTAACAATTAAATTCTTGTCTTGGACAACTTACGTGTCAAACTGAACATAGACATTTCCTCTCAGGTGTGGCTCAAAATTACAGCTGACCTTTAAAAAGAACAACACAGTACAGACATCAGGTACTATATCAGCCCAGCTGTGAATGACAACAGACATTAGAAAACACAGAAACCAAAAAAAAAAAAATCACTCTGACTGTCGTTATTTGTCAGTTCCTCTGACTCAACTGTCCCTACTCTCATCTCACCTTAAACTGAATCACTTTGCCAACACTTCTGAACTCTGGCAGCACATCATGGTAGAAGTCGAGGAAAGATTCCAGCAGGTCTTCCTTTTCCCTCTCTGTACTCCGGCTTCTTGACCTTTCTTGGGATTCTACCCGTGTGTCTCCATCTTTGTCTCTGTCTTCACTTCTGTTCCTGGACTTGCGCTCTCTGTCCTTTTCTCTACTTCTCGTTCTTCTTCTGTCTTCTTCTCGGTCTCTACTTCTACTCCTAGTTCTGTCTCTTCTGTGCAGATATCTGGCGTTCCTTCTGTCACTGTGTCTCGACCACCATTTGTCCTCCTTGTCCTGGTGGGACATCCTCCTCTCTCGACTCCAGCTGTCCTCACGTCTACTGTGTGATCTGTCTGATCGTGTTGGACTTCTGCTGCCGTGACGCTGTCTCCAGGAATAATCGCCGTGCCGCTCCGACTGACTCCCATCTCTGCGACTTCCCCAGCCGTTGCGGTCTGGTGACAGGTGGAGGTCCCGGTCAGCCTCCCAGAATTCATTGCCAGGGTTGCGAAACACATGCAGGAAGTTACAGTGCTTTCCTTTGGGACACTTCCTTCTGTCAAACAATCCTGATACACAAAGTGAAAACATATATAAATAAAATATATAAAACATTATATTTACATATTTATACAATGTACAGTATATGTGAATGTATGTACATAGATGTCCATATATAAAATGAATACTGCTCTCAAAGTATTCCTGGTCAAAGACACTCACCACATATTGCATTTTTCCATCTGTTGACGGGACAAAGCTCACAGTGAAGCTGACGGCCAGCATACCACCGCCCGTTGAATTTGATGAAGGCATCTTTACACTCTTCCTCACTAGACAAAGAGTAAGATACAATATAAGAACCCGAGGACAACAACCACGGAAATGTAAATATATATATATATATACCCAAGGACAACAACCACGGAAATGTAATCATGTCGAATTAACAATTAAATTCTTGGACAACTTACGTGTCAAACTGAACATAGACATTTCCTCTCAGGTGTGGCTCAAAATTACAGCTGACCTTTAAAAAGAACAACACAGTACAGACATCAGGTACTATATCAGCCCAGCTGTGAATGACAACAGACATTACTATATCAGCCCAGCTGTGAATGACAATAGACATTAGAAAACACAGAAACCAAAAGAAAATCACTCTGACTGTCGTTATCCGTCAGTTCCTGTGACTCAACTGTCCCAAAACACAGAAACCAAAAAAAAAAAAATCACTCTGACTGTCGTTATTTGTCAGTTCCTCTGACTCAACTGTCCCTACTCTCATCTCACCTTAAACTGAATCACTTTGCCAACACTTCTGAACTCTGGCAGCACATCATGGTAGAAGTCGAGGAAAGATTCCAGCAGGTCTTCCTCGCTGTGTTCCAGACAGGCATCCACGTCGTAATCATCACGGCACGTCTCCTCCATGCCAAAGGTTGTAAACATACCACGCACCATCAGCGTCGGGCTGGATGTGGGATAGACGTGCTTCCGAGAACATCTGGGGAAAAAAAACAAACATGGAGAAAATGTAAAATGTTTAATTCATATACATGAACACAGAGTTGATGTCATATATTTACCATTTAATAGAAAATCCCTCCTGAAATTTACCTGTCTCCAAATCGACACGCTCCAGTCTTCAGGAAGAACGGACAGTTGGCCACGTCGCGCTCTGTTCCATAGTTCTCAGATTTGTCTGTTTCTGGAGGCTCAGGATTTACCCACCGCTGTCCATTTTCAAGCTGACAAAAACAATTACACTTATTGAAGCTGAGAAAGTCTTGAAATATCTACTCTGTTTAACAACAACCGTAAATTGTCAAAAAGAAAACATCCATGGCTAAAACAGAAAGTACAAAATGTCATTGATATAAAAATTAGGGATGTTCGATATTAGCTTTTTGCTTAACTTAATTTCCGATTCGTCATTGATATAAAAATTAGGGATGTTCAATATTAGCTTTTTGCGTAACTTCATTTCCGATTCCATTGGTTTTTCATTATCGGAGGAAAAACCCATAATGATTCTTACCGATATTACATAATTAGGAGATTATCGGACAGCTCTAATAAAAATGTCTCACTGTAGGATTTAATCCATAGATCCTAAATATGAAGTTGAATATCATTGATATGAAAACAGACGTTTTTTACCTGGTTTTCAGCTTCGTCCAACATTTTCTGGACAGCCTCCTATAAATGGTGTAAAAACATGGCTGGTGAAAAAGTGTACAGGTCAACATTCTGCAGCATGTCTGTTCATGTGGGTTAAGACCACATTCTTGGAAACGTGTACACACAATGCATCAGTGGGATAGAACTAACGGTAGGAAAATGCATGAACAGTTGTAAAAGATACATCTTTGCTGTGAGGCCTGGACGTCCTGTGACGGTTACTTAAGGAACAGAAAGGCTGCTTGTGCCCCTTGGTTAAGGAAAAGGTTTTAAAGGAACCAAACACAAAACAACACATCAGGTCAAATCCAAAAACTGGTGAAAAATGTTGAAACCACACAAATACTATGAAAAGTCACTGTAATATGTACAGTTTAACTGCAGAAGATGGAAGAGGATATAAATCTTTTTTTCTTTTTGTTTCTATCCTCCCAGGGCCTGTTTCACCTCTTTGTCTCGTTTCTCCTGCAGTTTCTGCTCCTTTGCTGCCTGGTCTCTCGTCTGCTGAGCCTCCCATTCCTCCTTTATCAGTCTCTGTGGATTAGATTAGTTTTTTTGTTATTCTAGTAAAAAAATTTTAAAGGTTTTTGTTGATTGTAGTTAACACAGTTCATAACTCAACCCGCTACGGTTTCAGGGCATCAATGACAGACATGAAATGAAAGACATGGAAGTAACCTAATGCTTGATGGGGGGAAAAAAACCAGGTACCTCCTCCTCCTCTTTTCTCTTCCTTATGGCCTCCTCCCTCTCACATCTCAATCTGAACTCCTCCTGAGCCAGCCGCTCTCGTTCTACCCACTCTTCATGCAGACGCAATCTGAAAAGTTTCAGTCAAATATAAATAAACAAACATGATAAATACTGACAGGTAGCGATGATAATAGTGATGACGTTAAAATACACGTACCTTTCCTGCTCAGATAGATCAACGTCGTCAACATCTTCATTTATTTCCTTTTCAGGTGTGCAAATTCCTGTGTTTGTAAAAACAATGACACCGTTGGTGTTTTCATTGCCCTGAACAAATGACCGCTCACCACCATTAGTATCATCGGCAGCAGATGAACAGAAGTCGATACCACAGTCTCTGGCTTGGGCGAGAGCTTGGCGTTTACGCTTTCTTCTCTCTTTCCTCTGAGCAGCTCGGCGTTGCTTTTGACTGAAATTAATATGAAGAATAAAAAAAAGACGCTGGTTAACAACTTTCAAAACAAAAACGACATATTGCATACATGCTCTTTTTAACTAGAAACATTTATTAAGGTGCATTAACTCCCAGGAAAAACACTTGCATACCTTAACACGGGCAAAGAGGGTGGAGTACACGTTGCCATCAAATACTGGAGCTATGCTAACAGTCAGACGCTGTTAGCAGGACCGCGTTTACAGACACATTTATTCTCCCGGTGCGCTTTAAAGTGAATTTAACCACAGCAAAATCCCAAAATTGGATGAACTATTATAAAAGGCAATTTGTTTTGTTAACAGAGTTACTAAATTGAATACTGCATTTAAATTATGCAATATCTAAGCGCATATAAGTCTGTTTTGAGCGTGTTGTTGTGGAAAGAAGAAGCGGAAGTAGAAGTGAGTGTTTCCGGTTCAACACGACTTATTATTACTATAAGTAGAAATACACTTTTAAAGCTATTGAGCTATTTTGTTTAGATGGCATATGTCACTATACCGGGCCTGTCTTAATACCATACAAGTATGTATTTCCATTCTTAAACTAACATGATTTAGATTTAAATACACTTACACTTTTTTTTAAATACAGTTAAAACGTTGTAACTTTGTTACAGATAAAAAATGCATTATGGGTTCCTTCGGTTGAATTATGTTTTCTCTGAGTGTGAGTTTCTCCCATTAAATCTAGACGTAGACATTAAACTGTTCAAACGTGAGTTTAAATGGTTATTGTTTTATATTATGTTAGTAAAATTTATATTAATTCTGAAATTGACTGGCAAACTGTCCAGGTTGTACCCCACGTACAGTTTGCATTTACTGGTATATTATGTTGGAAAACCATGTAAAATGTGCACAATTCCAATATTTATACCTTTATTTGTCAAACAGCTGTGTAGAAGTGCTACACAGAGACTTTTCACAGTCAACAGCAAAGCATTTTAAAAGCATGTGTTCTTAACAAATGCTTATCAAAAAATATAACAGTATTATCAGCCAGTTTGAGACAAATACTCAGTGTTATTATACACGCCCTCCACTGCAGTACACAGCTAATACCTGAGAATATTAATGTCATCCCTCTTGATAAAGGGGAGTTGGATGTTCCAAACACAGTTGCTGCCAAGAACTGCACAATATATGGCCTTTTTTAACTTACAAATAACCCTTTATTACATTTCATTTAATCAATTCATCACTCCTGCTCCTCTGTGTCAGTCTGTGTCTCTGGCTGCCTGTCTCTCCCTTTCTGTCTCTCTCTCTCCCTGACACTTCACTGTCAGTCCTTTTCTTTTCAGGTGTTGGCTTGAGAAAGAATTCAGGCCTGGTGCAGCAGCGGTAGCACAGAGCCTGAGGCACCAGACCATACAGGATGTTAATCAGCAGAAACACCGGCTGGCTGTCGGCAGGTACTCTGTAGGAGAAAGGCGTCCGAGTGTGGAGCGAGGCACCGATATGAGAGAACTGGGCCTGTATATCAAGCAGAAGAGGAGGAAGTTAGTGATGAAGGCTTTTCAAAAAGTATCAAATCTACTGTACTGTTGGCATTTCTAAAATATTTTATTTTATTTTTTTCTTTTAATTAAAAACAAACAAACAAGGAACAAAAAAAACTATAACAACTCTTAATCTGTCTCATAGCAACCACAGCTTTCCTGGCTTCAGCCGTCCTATTAATAGCCCAGCCAACAGCTGACATTTAAGAGAATGCCACCGTTCCTCCTGCTCTGAAGTCAGTGTGTGATGTGCCAACCTGCAGCTCCAGACACAATAGCTGCTTTATCCTGGAAAAGGTTCGTCTGCAAACTAACACTGCTGACATTACTCCCACAACTTGGTGGATAGGAACACGTTGACAAACACTACTGTGTTGAAAAACACACATCCAAGCAGAGTGAAAATTAATTTTCACTGACCCTACTTTTACGTAGGTCTCCAAATAATCCCAATCAAAGTGTTTTACAAAATACTTTTATGCTGTCTTTAAATTATCACAACCTAAACATTTTAGGCCAGACATGGGAGCTGTCTTTAAATTATCACAACCTAAACCAAACCCCTCCCCCCCCATCCCTCTGCCCCCCGTTTAGGACAATTGTGGCCCGCGAAAAGTTTGCCCACGCCTGTTTTAGGCATTATTTTGGTTCTACAGAATAAAATAACAACAGGAAAAAAAGACTATGTTGATGGGAACAAATGTGTCTGCAGTAAAGGGTTCGTACCTGAGCCAGTGCTCCTGAGTGAATGAGTGTCAGATCTGGCATCCACTCACATCCAGGGACCAAGAGTCCATACAGAGTAAAGATGTAGTACGGGCCTGAGTACAGCATGGCCACCAGCATCTGACCAAACATGAATGCAAGTCCACCAGCATCTGACCAAACATGAATGCAGGTCATGGATTTGGTAAAAAAAGAATAATTAAAAAAAAACCCAAAGGGCAGGTGTGTGTGTTTGGTCGACGTCACTGTCACCTGGACTCTAGGGTAGGCTGACGGGTCCTTCAGGTAAGGTTCATACAGCTGGGAATAATCTCGACAAAACCTGCTGGGACAATCCAGAACCACCTGAAACACAGGGACCTTGACATGAAAAGGAACTTCAACAAAGTAAAAAGCAGTATTTCCATGAAGGGGCGGACCATCGGGGTTTCCTCACCAGTCCCCTGAAGACACAGAAGACCAGCGCAGGGACCAGGTAGACAACAAACAGGAGGTCCAGAGGTCTGTGGTGTAGACTTTTTCTTTGCACTTCCTGGACTCCCTGACAGAATAAAATCACCAATATTCATATGTTTAAATACATTTTTACTTCATTGCTATTTGTATGTATATGACTGTAATTCCCAAGCCTGTGATCAATAAATAATAAAAATTTCAAAGCCATAATCACAACTTGGTGCATCGAAGTACGTTTCCATTGGCGAGGAATATTACTTGTGTTTAAACATCAGAATGGGGAAGGAAGGTGGTGTAAACGGCTGTAGTAGTTGCATGGTTGTTTTGATCACGGCTTTTCTGAGTACTTCTGAATAACTGTTTCAAAACAGAACTTTCTAACGACAGTTAGTTAATACCCCTAACTAGCAGATTGCCAAAATTGGAACCTCTAAAACTAAAAACTAGAACTAGAAAAAACTCATCCAAGACCAGTGGTCCGTGGACCAGGGGTTGGAGACGACAGCTCAAATGTGATCATGTAGGTAATTGATAATTAAACCCAAAGCTAAGTAAAATACATTAACATTTAGCATAAATATTGAGCAAGAATTGCCCAAAGAGTTGGGATCAACTGATGAGTTTGTTTAATGATGAGTTAAATGTATTTCTTTATTCTGAGAACTTTGTTCTGAAAGCTTTTTCTTCCAATCAGACAGTGGACCATGTCAGCAGGTTTAATAGCACTGCTTGTGTTTGATTGTGTTGTCCAGGGACACGTTGGCATGCAGACTTCAGGAACAGAGTACTTACATTCAGCTGAACATCTTGGGCTTGTGGCTGGCTGAAGATGCGGAAACAGGCCCAGACTGCCACTGAGACGTGCAGCATGTGGAGGAGGAACAGAGGACCAACATGGCTCCAATACTTCCCTGTGACAGGAAGGACATGATAGGATACACAGTCTACAGATCAGCATGGACGACTGTGAATTCTCTCAGTGGGGGGAGGAGGGGGGTCAGGCCTGGTCAGGCTAACATTTGTCATTTAAAAGCATCCCATTATTTTTAGTGTACTCACCCACAGCGTTCCCAAGAATGTAGACTGTGGCATGCATGAGAAAGGATCCCACCCAGTAGAGTCCAATGGCTCGGTAACTGTCCCTGTACAAACCACACAACGTGTCCATTATTAGAGCAGATAGAGGACATACATCACATCACTGCCAAACCTCAGATAGGGGGTGTGGGGGGGCGACAGGGAGGGAGAGAGAGAGACTTCATCTGTTCAGGTGAATCTGAATTTACTGTATTTTACATCAGGGGTTCTCAACCCTTGGTCTGAGGACCAGTGCCGGTCCGTAGGTCATTTGGTTCTGGGCCACAGTGGGACACAGTACAAATATGTATTCAGTTCCAGACTCACCCCCAGGTGATGGCAGCAATCATGAGCAGATACATGAGATAATGAACACAGCCGTCCCAGTAGGAGATCATGTGGCCGTGGGCTGTGTTAACCTGTGGCTCTGCCTGAAACACAGACAGGTGTGTCAGTACGACAGTGTTAAAAACAACAGGGTCTGAACTGAAGGTGTAGGTCAACAACAACAACAACAACAAAAACAACAGCAACACTCACCTCCTTAAGATAAAATGTCACAAATCCATCGATGATGTTGTCCTGCTCTAACCCGATGATCAGATTAACCACACTCAGGAACGCATACACAGCGTATACTGTACAGACAAAGACACGTGGTTACTTTATCAGAAAGAATATTACTGAACATCAAGGTACTGCTTTGAAGGGGTTATAGAAACGTTTAGATTTTTAGAACATGATCATTGGCATTTGCTTAAAATATCGTTACTAACATTAAGCAACATTTGTATTACAGCAGTTCATCACCTGACACTGTTTGAAATTGTCAAAAGAACTGTTTGATGACCTTGAACGACAGTGTTATATTTTTGAAAATGGAAGTCCTTGTTGTTAAGTTGAATGGATTTTTAAACACGCATCACATAAACAGTGCTGCTCTTTTATATGACAAATATTTCTATAAATATATCGTGGTGAGCAGAGGAGTGTTAGGAAGTAAATACACTGATGAACTCTTTTTAGAACGTTAGTAAAGATATGACTTTATTTTATTTATTTATTTATACACCTGATTTCTTCAACTATGACGTTGGGCTAACTATCTTTCACAGCTGAACAGTTTGAATTAAACATAGTCTTTACTGCAGCCTCAAAAAACGTCACACCATATTTCAGAAGTTAAAACTGAAAGTCAGTCACACCAGATTTATTGATCACAACAAGCCACGAACACAAAGACACAAAAAGTCAGACAACGAACAAGCAGCACGTATGAATTGAACTCTACAATAAAATAAGATTACACAGGAGAAGTACTACAAAGCACAGGCCAAAACGGAGAAGTTCGAGCAGAAACATGCGTCTGAAAATTGATACCATAGAAAAGTGGGTCTGTTGGAGCCTTCTTCTTGGCCATAAAGTGTGCTGAGACTGCCAGGGTAAGAAATGTTGTACATCCAGCGAAGCTGAAGCCGTCAGCGCTTTAATGTAGCACAGATGAATTTTCTTTACGGAAAAACTGATTCAATACTTTTAATAAAAAAATATTTTAAAAAAAACCTATTGCTAGCAGTTTTTTTATCTAAAATTACAAATGTGAATGGTTACTCACCTGCTGTTGTAAAAGCAGGAATTGAATAAATAACAAATAGGTATGGACATCAAGGAGAGGACAAACACTCCTGTTCCTGCAGACGCGCTCATTGTGGAGACGGTGTTTGGAGCTCAGCAGGTATTTGAAATGTTGAAGAAGAAAAAAACACAAAGTCATCCAAACTTTGGCGTTAAGTCATTATCATGAAGAACAGACCAGATGTACTAAGATAACAGGATCTTAGTACATCTGAGGATGTAAACAACACATGAGATCCTGTTCTCTGGACGCTCACTTTCTCTCTCACTCTCTTGCGATCTCTCTCTCTCTAAACATACGCGGGCAAACGCACGGTGAAATTGCTACAGCCGCATCTAGTGGTCAATACAAGGACATGCAACTAGGAACAAAACCTTTCAGCACTTGTTATAATGACATTTTCTAAAACCAAGTTCTTCTACAGTGAGACCTGAATGACCTGACCTGAAAAAATAACGACACTAAAATAACGAGGTTGAATACGCACAGGCTTGTTTTTTTTTCAAAATTATCAGTGTTAAAATATCCAAACCCACACGTCACCCATCAAACAAACCAAGAAATATTTTTTAAAAATATACAAAAATGTACCAGATCTAATTATAATTACAATAATACACAACGATGTTACTAATAAACCACTAGATTATTTAGTTAGTCGTGAGATACCGTTCTAGCTCACTTCCAGTCCATTAGATGGCAGTATTGTACCCAAAGTCTGTTGTAAAATACCGCTTTACCCAAAAGAAAAAACGTTATACGTTGTTTTTGCGGAAGTGGATGTGTACGTCACTTCTGATGTGAAGCGACAGGCTAACATGTAGCTGCAGTAATAGGCTGATGGCGTCGGAGGTGATGGATACGACGTAAACAAATAACATCGACCTGTTTTCTTTCGACACGTATCGACATACCACCTACAATCGGCTGTGGTGAGAAAAAATAATCGAGAGTAACGCTGTCAACATGGCGACCACAGGAGTTAGCAGCGGTTCGGTGTCAAACCACGACCGCCAGGAGGTAGCGTCCAACTCGGGTCAGTCTGGAACATCTACAGGCGCACCTGGAGCAGCCGCAGCATCCGTGCCCAGCGCACCAGCCTCCGGCCCTGCACCTCCGGCCTCCCCGCCTGCCCTAGGCCTCAATCGGGAACCAATGTACAACTGGCAAGCGACCAAAAGCTCGCTGAAGGAGCGCTTTGCTTTTCTGTTCAACAACGAGCTGCTGAGTGATGTCAGGTTCATCGTAGGAAAGGGCAGACAGGCCCAGAGGATACCTGCCCACAAATTCGTCCTGGCCGCGGGCAGCGCCGTCTTTGATGCCATGTTCAACGGGGGGATGGCTACCACCTCGACCGAGATAGAGCTGCCTGACGTGGAGCCTTCAGCGTTCCTCGCCCTGCTCAGGTAGACAACACAGACGATCTGCGCACAAACATGACAAAAATGTTTCCCTAATGCAATCATTGGCAATTAATTAGGCATAAGATCCTGTTCTCTGGACGCTCACTTTCTCTCTCACTCTCTTGCGATCTCTCTCTCTCTAAACATACGCGGGCAAACGCACGGTGAAATTGCTACAGCCGCATCTAGTGGTCAATACAAGGACATGCAACTAGGAACAAAACCTTTCAGCACTTGTTATAATGACATTTTCTAAAACCAAGTTCTTCTACAGTGAGACCTGAATGACCTGACCTGAAAAAATAACGACACTAAAATAACGAGGTTGAATACGCACAGGCTTTTTTTTTTCAAAATTATCAGTGTTAAAATATCCAAACCCACACGTCACCCATCAAACAAACCAAGAAATATTTTTTAAAAATATACAAAAATGTACCAGATCTAATTATAATTACAATAATACACAACGATGTTACTAATAAACCACTAGATTATTTAGTTAGTCGTGAGATACCGTTCTAGCTCACTTCCAGTCCATTAGATGGCAGTATTGTACCCAAAGTCTGTTGTAAAATACCGCTTTACCCAAAAGAAAAAACGTTATACGTTGTTTTTGCGGAAGTGGATGTGTACGTCACTTCTGATGTGAAGCGACAGGCTAACATGTAGCTGCAGTAATAGGCTGATGGCGTCGGAGGTGATGGATACGACGTAAACAAATAACATCGACCTGTTTTCTTTCGACACGTATCGACATACCACCTACAATCGGCTGTGGTGAGAAAAAATAATCGAGAGTAACGCTGTCAACATGGCGACCACAGGAGTTAGCAGCGGTTCGGTGTCAAACCACGACCGCCAGGAGGTAGCGTCCAACTCGGGTCAGTCTGGAACATCTACAGGCGCACCTGGAGCAGCCGCAGCATCCGTGCCCAGCGCACCAGCCTCCGGCCCTGCACCTCCGGCCTCCCCGCCTGCCCTAGGCCTCAATCGGGAACCAATGTACAACTGGCAAGCGACCAAAAGCTCGCTGAAGGAGCGCTTTGCTTTTCTGTTCAACAACGAGCTGCTGAGTGATGTCAGGTTCATCGTAGGAAAGGGCAGACAGGCCCAGAGGATACCTGCCCACAAATTCGTCCTGGCCGCGGGCAGCGCCGTCTTTGATGCCATGTTCAACGGGGGGATGGCTACCACCTCGACCGAGATAGAGCTGCCTGACGTGGAGCCTTCAGCGTTCCTCGCCCTGCTCAGGTAGACAACACAGACGATCTGCGCACAAACATGACAAAAATGTTTCCCTAATGCAATCATTGGCAATTAATTAGGCATAAGTGGCTTGGTGGTTAAGGAAGGGTCCGGAGGGTTTCAGGTTCGAATCCACAAGCTGCCGAGTTACCACTGAACATGGCACCGTCCCCACACACTGCTCCCCGGGCACTTAAAGCTGCCCACTGTTCACTTTGGTGATGGGTTAAAAGCAGAGGTCACATTTGGTCGTGTGCTGTGTCACAATGACAAGTAGTTCACTTTCATTATGAACTTTAAAGTTTGTCCTGTTTCTCCTCCCAGGTTTCTGTATTCTGACGAGGTCCACATCGGTCCAGAGACTGTGATGACGACCCTGTACACGGCTAAGAAGTACGCAGTCCCTGCTCTGGAGAGTCAGTGTGTGGAGTTTCTAACCAAGCATCTCAGAGCTGACAATGCATTTTTGCTCCTCACTCAGGTTCACGTCTTTTATGACTTGTCTTTTGTTGTTGTTTTAATTAAGGCAGCAGCTCGTTTAGGCTAGTTACGGTAATCACTGAATGATTTCTATTGCTCTTTCATCACAGGCCAGGTTGTTCGACGAGCCCCTACTGGCCAGTCTCTGCCTGGACACCATAGATGAAAGCACTGCAGATGCATTAAATGCAGAAGGGTTTACAGACATTGACATAGGTACGAAAGTCTGGGTCAGGTGATGTCCAATTTTCTGCAGCTGCATTCGCACAGTAAACTGATGAACGCTCTGTTTTCCTACGTAGACACTTTATGTGCCGTTCTGAAAAGAGACACGCTGAGCATCAGGGAGAACCGTCTGTTTGGAGCGGTGGTACGCTGGGCAGAGGCTGAGTGTTACCGACAGCAGCTTCCTCCCACCTCAGAGAACAAACAGAAGGTTCTGGGGAAGGCTCTCCCCCTCATCCGCTTCCCACTCATGACCGTAGAGGAGTTTGCTGCAGGTAAGCAGATCACAAACTCATTGTGGGGGGGCACAGGCTTTTGAATCTGGTGTTTGATTTGAACGCTGCACTAAAACCGATCAGTACAGTAATGACACAGTGGTCATGTTCCTGATTATATATTTTTTTATACAAGTCACATCACAGAAACCAGCTTGATATTCTTTCTTGTGCAACAGGGCCTGCCCAGTCTGGAATATTGTACGATCGGGAGGTGGTAAATCTGTTTTTACACTTTACAGTAAACCCCAAACCTCGGGTTGACTACATCGACAGACCCCGCTGCTGCCTCAGGGGGGAGGAGTACAGCATTAATAGGTTCCAGCAGGTTGAGAGTCGGTGGGGTTACAGCGGTACCAGCGACAGAATCAGGTGAGCAGATCTTCAGGACGTCATAGGATCTGTCCAACTGATGTAGAGTCACGTTGGTTATTCTGTTTTTCCTCCCTCTGAAGATTTAATGTAAACAGAAGGATATCCATTGTGGGTTTTGGCCTGTATGGTTCAATACATGGACCCACCGACTATCAAGTCAACATACAGGTAATGTAAAGTCACACACACTACAAGACTGTAAAATAAAAAATGTCATTTGCCTGTTGAGATTTCTTTTTTAAATAATAGGAACGGTAAAGATTGCCAGTAGTTTCAAAAGTTGATCAATATAAATTAATAAATGAATATAAAATAAAAGCGAAACTAGTTGACCTGTAACTACAGAAGATGACACGATAAAGTAAATGACAGCAGGAAAATCTTTGGAAGCGGCAGAAGAGTAGGTGAGGGTGGTGCAGGACCTGTATGATAACAGAGGTGTATATATATATATATAGATTCACATCTCAAAGTGAGATTATACCAAGAATCTGGTCAAGTTAAGCAGTATATATATTTTATAAAGGTACTTTTCAAAAGGTTAAAATATATATAATATTGTGTGTTTTTCATGTATGACTTTAGACCAGTTCTTCAAGTATTCCTAAATATAAATTGATGTTCCTCCCTCCCCTTCTTTTTCTCAAATCTTCTTGTTTAGATCATAGAAAGTGACAAGCGGATCACACTGGGCCAGAACGATACAAGTTTCAGCTGTGACGGCACCGCAAACACCTTCAAAGTGATGTTCAAAGAGCCTGTAGAAATATTAGCCAATGTCATCTACACTGCATGTGCCACTTTAAAGGTCAGTCCCCATTAGGGCAGTGTTCAAGACTGGTAAACAGTAATTGTTTGTGTGGACAGACACGTCCACACCATTTATTGCTACTGTCCAAAGCTGAGACACAAAAGAATATGGGGTGTACTACTACAAAGAATCATTCGTACTGATTTGTCCAGAGACATGAGTACAGTACTGAAGTGATGACGAGTAACTTCATACCTAATCTAGTTTCTAACAAAGGAATAGTCGTGTTACATGGTACTTGTCATAATAATTTGTGAAAATGTCAAAAGCCCATTCTGACAGACTGCTATTAAATAATTTTATTTACACCAGCAGTTTCTGTGTAGCCGTAAAAACAGTGCTGTGTTAAAAACAAAGAGATTTCTCTGTGAAAAATCACCTGATTTGAAAATGACTTACGTTGAGCTGCTAACTTGTGAATGTCACATCACAGGGTTCAGATTCCCATTACGGCACAAAGGGTCTGAAGAAAGTGACGAAGGAGTCGGCAACAGGGACCAAGACGACGTTTTTGTTCTTCAGCTCACCTGGGAACAACAATGGAACAACAATGGAGGACGGACAGATACCAGAGATCATCTACTACACCTAGACTTTATATTGTTGTTGGACAGGGACACTAAACTGGTCAGACGTCAGGAGGCTGGGACAACTGGGTTTCTGAACACATGCGTAGAGTGCCTCATGAATCGTCATGAAAAAAAAAATGTGTTTGTGGGTTTTTTATATTCAATGTGTGTATATCTGTTAATAGAATAGACGTGTACAGACCTGATCACCTTCATGGACGGAGACACTTTTGGGCCAAGAACTGTACGACTCTTGTTATCCTGCAGAAATGTTGTTGTTTTTCCTTGCGTCAACACTCGGCTGACTAGGCAGATGTTTTTCCTTTTCTGCTCGAGGACAAATTCAGTGACGGCAACCACCTGTTGGATGAAAGGCATTTCATTTTTATATATTTTTTGGCAGTGTATTTATCAAAGAGTATAATATTTGCATATTTTAAGGGTGAACTTTTGTTTTTTGTTTTTGCATTGTGTGTTGAAGATCTACTGTATGTGCGTTTATCCAGTGGTACATGCTGTACACTACATTTCTCACTTCCTGTTTGCTTAGCACTTAATTAAAATGTAAAAAGGGTAAATAAATAAGTGACAATGAATAAATGATGCATTTTGGCAAGAAAATATTGATTTTTTTTCTTCCTTTTCCACTACACTATATTTAATCAGGTTAGGGTAAAACTTTTACCTTCCTATTCCACTATCCACCACTAGATGATGCTACATAGCAGGAAATACTAACTCAGTGACAGCATCGTTTTGTGAGACAGTGTATTAGAGCCATGTTGAGAATTAAAAAATATATATATATTACTTTTTTTCATACAATCACAACCTTAATGTCGTACTTTTAGTTACGTATTTATTGTCAGTGTTATCATATGTTTTACAGCTCAGATTTCAAATTATTTGTAAGGGGAATACAAATGTATCTATATCTACCTACCTATCTATTTATTTATCTGTTTGTCAGTTTGTCGGTTACTTCACTGTATCTGTCTTTCAAGTGAGTGGGCTCTGTGAGCTGCCCAGTCGTTCAGGTGAGTCATCAGGGACTAAGAGTCTCTCCTGTGGACTGCACACTCACACAACCCATCAGAACATAACAGGAAGAAAGATATTCCCTTTAAGATACAGACTGTGTTTTAACCACCCACCATGTTCCAACGCCTGGTGTCAGAAGGACAAATCAGTTCTGGAGTCACCCGGGCTGGAACAAGTCGGTTTCCGGTTCTAAAAGTAACCACGAACAGGCTCATTCAGAGAAGAAGAAGAAGAAGAGGAAGAGGAAGAGGACATTTTATTGACTAGTTTCCTGACTTTGACTTGTTTTAGTCTGACAGTTTTGATCTGTGACAACGACAACAGATACACTGATGACAATCCTGTAGCCATTAGACAGTCCAGCCTGAGTGGCTACCTTTTTGGCAACAATCAACAAGTGGCCCAACAAGTCAGCATCACTGTCGACAGCTGAACGATTGGCTTTTTGGGGACGACGAGGATGTGAGTGGGTGCTGTAGGAGAGATGTCACTGAAGGCAACCCACTTGTCATCCTCGTGAATAAAGTTGCGGGAATTTGCATATAGTCGTCCCAAATATGGTGGTGGAGACACCATATTTGGAGGAAGAGGAAGTAGCAGATGAATAAGATTGTAGTTGACAAACAAAGAGAGTAAACAAGCCTACATTAATGTGTCAAGGTGTAAAGATGTGAGGAGATGGAGAGGAGGCTGGAGTCCAGCTGGTGGCAGTTATGCAAGCGGGGGTAATTAGAATCTAAGCATGTATATATAGGACTGGGAGCTGAACATCACTGTCCTCCCTCCTCTGAAACTCTGAATCATTTCACACCAACTGCTAATTCACTTCCAAGTTGGAGAGAGCCGAGACCACAGAACGTTCATGTCTGTCTGAAGAACACGCTTTAACACAGAGATGCTGGACTGTAGATACAGTATGTCTGGACAGAATTTTAAGTCATTTAATCTATAATTAATGTTTCTTTAATTTTTTTGTTTAGCCTATTCAGCGGTCTATTGGTCTTTTCTAATCAACAATTTGCTCTATCTTTCGGCTAATTTGGCAACCACAAGCTAAATGACTCCAAACCTTCCTACTTAGATTGACTTTGAACTTCAGCTATTTTTGGCTCCAAGTATTCAGCTGTTCCTGCTACTGTTTCAATCCAAGGCTAGGTTTTGTTTCCCTGACATTTTTGAATGATCTTCTTGGCAAACATTCCGAAACAGATTCATACTTTTTTTTTGGCTTTTGTTTCCAAGCTGCAGCATGACGACCTAAAATCTGCGACCCACATGTTTAAACCCAAAATGTGATATGCTTGAATTTTCCACAAATTTTTCGTGTATGACCATCACATTCGCTTCTTAATGCCACAAACAGGATCATTTTTGAGACATTTCCAGATTCTGGCCCTAACAGAGTCCATTTTTCTTCAACACATCCTCTTTAAATCATGTCTATAAAGTATTCTCACAATGTTCTATACAGTATTTTTACCCAGCCTACATACAGTATTACTACAACAATGATAGTAAACAGGATAGAATGAGGTTAGTATGTGCCAAAATAAGACGGATCCACTTCCTTAATATAGACTATAATGTGACTTTATTTAAAACTTAGACAGCAGACTACACTGACTGGAGGAGCGGGGAGTCAACAACCATCATCTGCGGCAGCTGCACATCAGTATACAGTATGTATGATGGCGAAGAACATGTACGACTGCCTGGTTACCGCGCCGACACGTGTTCATGTGACAGCGAATGAATGTCACGAAAAACTACACACGTGAAGTACTAAAGAACACACAGTTACATCCACTAATGTCACAGGCTGCAGGAACTTTGCACTGTCTGCTGGAGGCTGACGAGTCTGGGCCAGACTCAGCCACTGCACATCCTTACACCAGATGTAGGTCGCTGTGTGCTGCAGGGGATGCAGGAAGTGTGTGTGTGTGTGTGTGTATCTGTGTGTTGGTGGGGATGTGTGTAATTACGTATGCACTTAGAGCAGGGGATGATGGAGAGTTGTGACTGCGGTGGGTGAGTTCATCAACAGGGACATGGCCCGCGGCACACCGTGTCTAAAGCCGTCATGTTGCGTTTTCACAACATGTCCAAATGAAGCATGACAGCCTGGCAGACAAGACTGAGGGGACAGTGGCTGGACAACAACTCTGAGCCTTTTTTGTTTCAATTATATTTTTATTTACTTGTAAGCAATAGGTTTAGTTAAAGGGCAGTGAATCACTGCTGTTTTTTAAAAGCATCAATTTAGACCAAACATAACCTGTAATTGTGCATATTTGTCTTAAGATATTTTAAAAATGTATTATCAGTATTACCATGAATATTTTACTGTATAAATTAATATATTGAAGCACATAAAATACAAATGAGTATTTACAGTTCCCTAATGTCTCCAGTGTTTATTTTAACCTCCTATAATATTTCTATTAGCATATATATATATATATATAATAAAAAAATTACACTGAGATGCACAACCTGGTTGCATATTTTTTTAAATGGCCTCCATGTGTTTTTTGATTTAACACTGAAAACTGACTTTTTTTTCTATGTAATTTTCCTGTCAAAAAGTATCCTAATATTCATTGTAGACATGAGAGAAGACTCCGCTCTAAACTCTCAGCAAGAAAGCAAATATCTGTGGGAAGATTGCAGTATTTGTTAGACTGTAAAATTTCCAATCAGAGTCATTCCCTAGAAACTAATCAAAACCCACTATCAGCCATGAAGTCTGTCTAACCCCAGCTGATAACAGCCTCTTTATGCTGTGTGCCAGTTCCAGCACATCCTCCACAACATCTTCCCCCCTCCTCCCTGGTGCTCTTATCATCACAGCTGATTGCACCTCTGAAGCCCAAATCAACTGTTGACACTGTAGCCACAAATAGAAGCCACACACTGGCGTTCTGGCTCTGGTGACACAACGCTGAGAGTTTCTGCCGGTGCCGTGGCTCAGTCGTGGTCCGATGTACCACGGGACCTCACTCTACTTGAGAGCCTAAATGGAGACACCATAGCACTTGACAACCGCAGGCGACTGAGCCAAAGTGTGGTTCATCAAATAATGTGTGTAGCAGCCACATATTCATAAAATATATGGGAATGTTTCTGATGTCGCTTAGTCCCAAAATCCCAGGTTAGCTTGCACCAGGAATGGGATCTGGTGTCAAACAAAATCCCACTTCAACTGTGGTGATCTCCAATAGAATGTGATTCTACTTCCACTGTGAGGAGCCCTGACAGCGGCAGGGCGGTTAGTGCTGTTGCTTAAGTTATTTGTCATGTGTTCTTATCCTCTCCTACCAGCTGTCCCTCCCCTTCGTTAGCTCCTCCACTCTCATCGGCCTCCTGTGTTGTCCCTTCAGCCTGAGCTGCAAAATCAATAGCATTTGAGCTACCTTTTAGCCTTGGATAAAAAAGAGCTACATAATTATATATAATTATAAAACAAAAACAATGATAACACGCTGATGAAAACAGACAATAACTTTAAGTTATTTAAAGAAAGATTTAAACACAATGCATTTAATAGCTTTCATTGAGGTTATTTTATATGAACTTGTATATAATGTACAGCAAATGCATTCTATCAAGATATAATTTTGTCACATAAATTGTAGTATTTAGAAGTATAAACAGCTAAATAAATGCATGTTACCAAATACTGCAATGCACTGATAACACCATAAATACTGACAATATGTGTGAAAACAGAGATCAGTAACGGTCATAACGTGGCCTATTGTGATGGGAGTTGTATCCCTGGTTGGAGTTTGGAGGGCCTGACTGGTATCCACTTCCATGTCCCCAGTTCCTGTCCCTGTCATAATAGCGTTGCTGTTCACGATGTTCTCCTCTCCAGCCACGGTCCCCCCAACTTCGGTCTCTACCCCATCCCCGACCTCTGTGCCCTTGGGACCTGACAAATATAGATAAAATACTGCGTATGAAGAGGAAAAACTAACAATTTTACTTTCAAATAAACCATACCAAATTAACAAATAAATAAAAAACAACAAAGTATGTAAAATGCGTTACCGATTATCCCTGCCTCTCTGGTTCCCTCCCGCACGACCCCTCCAGTCTTCCACAATGGGTGGTGGGTCTGCTGGTCTGCTCAGGTACTGCTGGTACTCCTGGTCCTGCGATGTAAATCTGTGGGCGAACAGCTCCTCGTATTTCTGTAGGTTTTCACTGGTCTCTGCCATTCTAGAAACAGTGAAGATAGGCATTTTAAAATTCAGAATTGTGTTAAAATACACATATATAGTTGTAGCCTGTTGTGTGACAGGCTAAAAATAGATTAAATGGCAATTAAAACTATGGAGCTGAATACGTGTCGTCTTTTATATAACATTAAGAAATTCTGTTACCTAAATATTTGAGTAATATAGAGTGAATGAACGTCCTGAATCGGATTCTAATCGAAAGTATTACATTTGAGTCAGTCAATTTCAATGAAGTACACACCAAGGCAAAACGGTTAACAGCACCTACGCGTTTCATAAGAAAACTTCATATTTCTATAGTTACCATTTTGGACTGAAATACAGAAACCCCCAAAATAATATACAACATAAAATACTTTATAACAATTCGAATAACTTACCTGTAAAGTACCAAACGCTTTCACAAAACAATCCAACTGATAGAAAATACTATCCGACATCCGTCGTTCCGTCGCTGAAAGTCGTCCTACGGGAACAAATAACCGCACGCACACTGGTTCCCAGCGCGCGCACCTGCCGCTAATCAGGCGAGAGAGAAAAAAATCGAAACACACATTACTGATAAAATGCTACTGAGTAGTACAGACTGATGCAGAAATTGTCTGAAAGACGGTTGGTTTGCAGGAGGTGAATCTGTCAACTTATGTATGCGGCTCCAACATGTAAGTGAACCAGAAATAACACGTTTTATGGCTGTTTATTATAACATATGTTTATTATAAGTGTTATAATATATTGTTATAATATCAATGATGTTGTTACACGTATTAAAAAGTCAAGAGTGAAGGAAACAGCAGTTCTTACTGCAGCCACGACAGACTTAAATAAAACGAGTGGGTGGCGGTGGTGGTAGAGGCGGGAGCAGGTGTAAACCGCTCAGTGTCGCTGCTGCTGCCAGTGCTGCCCAACACGGGAGACACTACGGTCCCTCTGAACTGCACGAAACTCGGCGAACCAGCAGGGAAAATGCCAACATCAACTTAATTCACTAGAGACGATTATTTAAAAATAGTGAGGAAGAAAAGACTTCTGTGTGCTATTGTTTCGTCGCGTATGTGGAGAGTAAAAACCAAGAGGCGAAGACAGAAAACTCCCAGAAATGATCTTGGTTCTGTGTGATGTGACGCTGAAGTGAGCTTGACAACCCGGTGAATCGAGTTTGCCAAGAAGTGCTCTCGTATTTCAGCTGTCTGTCAGTAGCCAGAAGCTGGCGCACAGGGAATGAACTCCTGGGACCGCTAGTCATCTGTGGACTTTAAGTGCGCCTTTATTTAAACGTCATTTTCCTCCTAATTCAACGTTAAACCTTCAAATAACAAGGAGTTGTTATTCAGATCCGCCGAAATGGGGTGAGTGGGTTTAAAGTCTTGTGTAGTTGTGTAGTAGAGTGTGTTCTGCAGAATATCTTCAATGACAACGGCGCTCACTGCTATGGTGTGTGTGTGTGTGTGTGTGTCCGTGTGTGTATAAAATAGCTCTGGAAAATAACGCAGAAATACCCCTACATTCGTCCACTTCACTTGTCAAGTCTACATTTGAACTTCCTGTGTATGAAGAAATCACAGGAAACGACTGTTGACCGTTTATTGGTCTATAATATTAGAAACAAATTCGGCCACGATATTGCTGACCAATAAAATGCAGATTCACGATAAAATTACAATACCCCTTTAATCAAAATCGTACTATTATTTAAAAATAAATATATAAAGCTGCGTTTTTACAGAATGTCCTGCCTGGTTACGAGTCCAGAAATAAAAAAATATTATTTTCAGAAATTGGATTCCCTAAAAGTTTGATAAGTGTTTTTCGCATGTTCTCTAGGCATATTTGGAAGTAAACATCATTTTTAAAAAAAATATTTTTTATCATAAAATCCAGGATTATAGAATGTGAGGAATGATGCAGTGTTTCTCATTGAGTCATTTTAAAACAAATCACTGCAAAGACACCTCTGTGTTGGTCCACTTTGTCTTTTTTTGAAAATAAAAAGTTTAGAAATTGGCAAGTGAGCTTGAATTTAACGCTGATTACTGTAGTTGGTTTCATGTCCAGCTAATTTAGCTTATTTAGTTAAGTCTTGTGGGGGAAACAACACTGGGATGTTTTCAAGAAAGTAAACCTAGTCCAGCCAACTTTAGGGTAAAAAGAAAAAGGATGAACCCAGAAGACAAGTAAAATATGAATACTTCAGTACTACAAATATCTATATACAATACTTCCTTATTGCTTTCGCTAGTGTTGAATATCACAGTAACAGCAGCTCTGAGTGAATCACACTAATCTGCTTTAATAGTCGTAAATGTTTAATGAGCTGTTTTATGATGAACAGAAACTGCCAACATCTCTGGAGTTTCTCCTGAGCAGACATGTTCTTCTTCTCTTTTTGAATTAATTGCGTAAGAAACCGGTTCAACTGTCCTGGTGACTCCTTGAGAGTTTGGTGTGGTCACCGAGCAGGTTAAAACTGACAGGAGAACAAAGGAGCAGCTCACTGACTTTTTTTCTTTTTTTTTTTTAAATCAGATACCAGAAATTAAAATATTATATTATTATTATTTCTTTGCCCCATTTCTTCTAATTCATTTTTTTTAACAAATGTATTTTTAAGATTAATTTTCTGTATGTTTGTTGTTCCCATTCTACATTAATGAAAGTCCAAATGTACATCCAAAATCATCCTTCACTTTTTCAGTTTTCCTCCCAGACAAACAGACAGTCTTGGTCTAATAGTGATTACTTGTGTATTAAGTGATCAAAATAATTTTAATTCAATGTAAGTGAATCTGTTTATTACTGTTAACTATTGACTTTAGGCTGTAATGACCAGCATGAATGTCTTCATTTCACCTTGTTCTTTATGGCCTGTATTTGAAGTTACAGATTAACTGTGTGACACAACAAACACTACTCTGTGCCCACTCTTCACTCTCACCCTCTTATCAGTTCTCTGATTATGTGAAGTCAAGTGTCCTTTCGGCCTTGACACATTTGTTGTTGATTACTTTATTTTCACATCAACAAGGCTTCCAAAGCTCAGTCCTGCAACTTTTGAAATTATGGAAAGAAATAAAATACTTAAAATAAAAAAACTTCTAAAAAGTTAGTTGTGATGATAACCATCATAAAAAGACAAAGTGCTGGAAATATATATATATATATATATATATATGTATATGTTTATATATAGATGTATATACAGTATTTATATGTAGAAAAGACAAGGAGATTGTGAGTACAGGTAATCACTGTAGCAGGATAGAAGGTGACTGTGGCTGTAGTTCTGAGTACAGTTTCTCAGCCTCGGTACTTCAGCTCCAAAGCCAAACTCAGAACGCCTGAAAGCCTCTTCTTACAGAGTAAGTAGTTGCAGAGGCAGTAATGCAATCAGCATAAGGCTATTTAAAGAAAGCCACGTTGGGAGCAGCAATAACACATGGACGGATGATAATCTCTACTGTTAGTCAGAGAGTGACGGACTAAATCCTAACGCTCATCCATTAGACCTTCTGACAAGTGACAGTGACGGTGGGTCTCTGACCAAACAGTGAACTATGATCTAGTCCATGACTCTAGTTCTGGATGCATCTAAGAATAGGGTGGAGGCTGTGGAGGTGGACGGGTGGAGGACAAGCAGGTCTCACTGTTTTAATAGTCATGCATAAAGGAACAAAGACGGAGGACAGTGGGTTGGACGTCTCTGCACCAGATGGTTTAAGCCTAGGACGCCATCTGCCTCTATGCTGTGCTTCTGTGGAGACTTCCTCACTTCCTGTTCCTCTCAGCTCTCAGATTCAGATCGGTACCTAGTTCTGAGGTCCTGAATTAGCTGCTGGTTCCAGACTGATCCACTGCCCTGGTTGTAAAGGACACAATATCTTTTGTTTCTAAAATTAGCTGACCTGGCTACAGGTGCTGCCCTAGTATTTACTGTCCTGTCCTGTCCTGTCCTGTTCTGTCCAAACTCCAAGGTAGTGCAGATTGAAAAAGAAAATTGGGTATTTTTAAGAGGAACTTAACATTCTTACATCCACTAAAACATCTTCAGTAGAGCTGCACGATTGTTGCTTTTAAAGCCCAGGTGGAAAAATTGTTCTCTCTTCTGTTGATCACAACACATTTGTTTGTTTCTGCCTAAACATTTTCAAACACATTGGATTTTTTTCGTCTGGCACACACCAGGATTTTCTCATCGAGGAAATGGTGTGTGAGCCGATGTAAACTTGTCATTAGAGTGTTGTTGGCAGCACTAGTACCAGAGCTGCAAAGTGAGAAATCATGCAGACGGTGGTAATACTTGGTATCAAGAGCCTCAGTCTTGGTTCAGGAGGTTTCTCATGTAGGATTTTTCTTTTGTAGCCTGGTGGAGACTGGCCCTGTACTTTATCTTCACAGATGTACTGTGTTGCTGGAAATTCAGACCTTAATTCTGCAGTGCCTGTTGGGTGAAGTCTGACTAAGGAGAAAACTCTATTTTATTTTATTCTATTCTAACAGCATGCACAGTAAGGTGACTGTTAACGTTGTTTCCTTCTGTCAGTGTAAATATTAACAGGTCAGTGACCTGCAGAGAAATCTCATCAGCAGGAAAATCTTAAAATACAGCAGACACATTCAGTCATTCATGCCCTGTACGGCTATGGTTCAAGCCTGTGTTATGATGTAGCTCTGCTATAGCTTCAGTTAATCTAAATGTACACAGTAGACCAGTAGATCCCAACCGTCTTTGGTTTGGGACCGACATTTTGACATCACAGATTTCTGGCGACCACAGAGACGTTTTTGTTTTTCTAGAATCCGTTTGTTATACTGTGTTGCAAAGTGAAGTGCGGGAACTGAAGTAGCTGCCACTTGTGCTGTCATGTGATCGCAGCAGTCAATCAAAGTAAAAGAATAAAGTTGTTTAAAGTTGTGCTTTTTTCATAGAAATGTACAAGTTATTTTTTTATCAATGACCTGACGTTTCAGGCGACCCCAAGGTTGGAGAGCAGTAGTAGACAGTCAGCTAATGCATATGTTTGGTTGTTTTTATATTTGAGTTCTTCCACTGATAGTTGGAGGAATATTTAATTGTAAAAGATTGTAAAATTTGCTTTTGAGTTAGCGATGCGCCGATCAATCGGCCAGTGATCGGATTTGACGTCTTTTGTCATGACCGGCCCTGACCAGTGACCGGTGTAAAATTTGCTTTTGAGTTAGCGATGCACCGATCAATTGGCCAGTGATCGGATTTGCAGCTAGTTATTTTGTGCTCATGTTCTGTGTGGAAGCTCACACTCACAAGCTAAAGCTAACACGTCGTTAGCTTGGATGTTCATTACAGTGAGCCAAAAAAAGCTCCAAACTCCCTCTGCCACAATGTCAGTAGGAACAACAACCCTAATCCCACACGTTGAACCCCATCACCCAGCTGAACATGCCCAGACCGACGGAGCTGGTGTTTTTCACAGGCAGTGTCACTGGAGCTGATTCAAGTCGTGCGGGTGTTTGTTTAGTTTGGCAGGTCATGTGGTAGATGAGAAGAGAAACCCTCTGTCAGGTGACAAACCAGAGACACTCTTGTTTTCCATGAATCTCCAAGAAATATCCCTTTGTCCCGACATAGGTTGGCAGTTCAAAGCCCTTCTTGCCTCTTGTTACCCTATTAATTCACTGTAATAGTAAAAACAAAAAAAGGTTTCCACTTCAACTTTATGCCGTTTGTAATTACTGGACTTTTTTATTTCAGAACTATTTCACAGGCTTCACAACAACCTAGTTTTATCTAGTTCATTCCAGTCACCAAGTCCTTTTATGTTAAAAGTCAATGAACTGAACAGTGACCCCGTGACTGAGTGCAGTTTGTGGGAAATGTTTCATAATTACTGTAACATTTTGCTCTGAAGATTTGCCATCAGAGACTTACACTCATCAATCAATCAATCGGAATTCAGAATTTGGCAAGGTTTGTTTTGTTGTTTGTTTTTTTTATTGGTAGGCAAACATTTCTCTATTTAGTATCTTATACAGTGCAGTGCTGGAGAGAATTAGGCCTGTTATATTGGCAGCAGGTGATGACACTGATGACATCAGCACAAACCGCTCCCGACCCCAATATCTGAGTAAACCTGGTCCAAAGAAAATCCCGTGGAGCCAATCAGAGCCTCTGTTACTGACTGTGAATCTGTATCATTTACACAAACTACTTCTGCGCTGCTCTCTGTTTCTTTGGTTTTCGGTTCCCCGTTCATGTAGATTTGGTTCAGGATCCAGTTCAGTCACATTGGTAGGCAAACATTTCTCTATTTAGCAGCTTATACAGTACAGTGCTGGAGAGAATTAGGCCTCTTGCATGGTCAAGAAAGTGCCAACAAAGTATTTTATTTTGTAAAACAAGCTTCGAAACCCGTTTGAGTTTCGGCATCAAAACCTTGCGTTGTTGATCGTGGAATCCTGACGTACTTGCAGATGTCATCACAGACACCACAGGGTGGATGAGTGAGTGTTGTCGGAGCTGGAATGAATTCAGGAATCTGGAAGAAGCAGTTCTTCAGTACACCTGTAGAAACCAGCCAGGACGAGCCTGGTTTCTACAGGTGTAGCAGAACACAAACATCAGCCACTGACTGTCCGTCACCTGACAGCGTCGGCTGCTGATGTGGTTCAGGTCAACTCCCAAACTTGCAGTTAGTCATTGTATTTAAAAATAATTTGACATCTAAGCTTCCTGCATATGTGGGCTACAGTGTGATACACAGCTTTTCCGCCTGTTTGGTGCATCACCAGGTTTTCAGTTGTCAGCACATTGTTTTGTTTTTCGGTTCCTCCCTCTTTGAAGCTCGACACAAACGCTGAATCACGAGTGTGTTCGGGCCAGAGGTAGATGTGTAGGTGCGTGTAGGCGCTGTGAAGACGAACTCGAACCTACTTCCTCAGACAGAAGGGCACACCTGTAAATTATTTAAAGCACCAGATGGTGACAGAGTATTATTAGTAGAAACAATTATTCTAAAAGCCGGTGGAACAATCAACAACCTGGCGTTGTTATCATCCCACAGAGGCTGTTGGTTTGAATCCGCCTGATTTTGTGAGCCTACACTTGCAGTGTTTTTTGTTGTGTTTGTTTTGGCCTTAAGTTGGTATTTTTAACTCCGAGGTCAGCAGCAGGTCTTGGCGTTTGTTTGTGTACAGTACTGTATGTATAGTGACAACAACAGTCGGTAGAATGACTTTGGTTGTTCCACAACAGATAAAGAGTGGGATCAGGGCTGAGGGAAAACACAGAATTGATCAGGTTTTCATTGCCTTTAAAAGAATAATCCCAGGAGAGTGAGAACCTTCAGCTGCTCACGATTCCACTGCCTGCCAGCCTCTGTGAGCAGCATCGTCTTCACCAGGCCCAACATTAGTGACACTGGACTGAATATCTGCAGACAGACTTCCTGTACCTGCTGTCATGAAGAAATATATCAGCTCTGGCTGCGGTCTTTCCTACAAACCTCATATAGTCTTGAATTAAATAGGACTCAGAACGGACCAGTCTGCCATGAACTGTCACTGTGTGTTTAGTACAAACTACAGAAAACACCTTTGTTTGTGTATGTGGAAAAACTGACTGCCCGACATTCCTTTTCATTTATATTCATCTATATGTTTATATTTTACTGGGAATATGTTGAGCTACATGAAGAGAAGCATGTTTTTAAAGAAATTAAATATATGTGTGTGTATTATATAAATATACAGTATATACACTTATTAATGTATATATATTTTATTAATGTTTATATTTGTGTTTAAGTGTAAATTTATATATAATAGGCTGCTCAAAATTAACACCTTAATTAAGTTAATCAATTTTTTGAAAATAATGTTTTTTTGGGGGTTTTTTTTTAACCGAGGGCCAGAATGAAGAGGGCTTTATATCCCATAATTCCCCTGTCAGATCATTAAAAAAAACATTTTTACTCTGAACTTGTTGTGTTCAGTCCCTCTGAAGCAAGACAATTAAAAGGAAATGGTTTTTTGGGTTGTTTTTTTTTTTGGGGTATGGCTCAGTTTTCAGCAGTGCTGTTTGTCACCATGTGACAACACAACAGTGTGTACTTTTTCACTGATGTGAAATAGACATTCCTTATTTTCAGTGTGTATAAGAATACTGGGATATATTTGTTTCTTTTATGAATATTTAGTGCATTAAATATTTGTTGACGTCGCCTAAAACCAAAAAACGTATCTAGTGCCTGGTTTGACTTTGATTTCTAACGACACCTTTTGTTCCTGCGCTGAGTCGTTTCACTGCACACTGACTCACACCTTGTCTTTCTGTCCGTGTGTGTGTGACACACATTATCTGAAGAAAACGATCCATTTGTGCGACAACCTACAGATGGGTAAATTGCAAAGGGCACTTGTAGAGAAAAACAATTAGATTTTTATGACGTTTATATTTGGAAAACGACTGCAGCACTGACATCAAAACTCTAAAACCATCTTCACCAAACGACCACTGTCCAGTTTTCCTCGGCCTGTCCACTACAGCCTTAGATCAGTTACAGGCTGACGGCAGTGAAACCTGACGTCTGCTGTTTTAACCCACCTGACTCAAGTTTCAATACTTTGTGCATGCTCAGGTTCTTTTTTCTTTTTTTTCCCCCAGTTGCTGCTACTGTTTCCAGTAAATACAACATGGGCTTTCATTGTGGTGATTGAATGATAATAACCTTCACTGTTGTTTGGCTCAGGTTGGATACCTGCAGGATTAGGCAACTATACAGGTGGCGCTAATACGAGGCTTCTTTATTAACAGACAACAGAAGGTAGAGTTAGACAGTTGCTGACTTCAGACGACAGATAATGGTTCACAAGAGTGAAGGCTACTGGGAGAGAATGTGTCTGTAACCAGTGCAGGCACTGGTACTATTTTCTCTTTGTTAAAGGTGTTTGCCCTGCGTTTGTTTACTCAGTGTCACACCAGTCTGCTCTGTCACCAAATAAAAGAAAACTCATCCAGAAATGGACATTTGAAATGGGATCATTTAAGTAGTGTTCCAGAACTGCTTATATAATGACTTCTCTGTTAGTTGAATATTTGCAGCCACTCCACCAATTCCATTACAAGGTTCTCATCACAGACCCTGCCCTGTCAGTACTGAATGCTTCATCTACATGGTGGTTCCTTTAAATCCTTGGCAACGTTTCTATTATGTCCAGGGAGAAATCCTGGAGGAAACAAAGGAAGTGTGGTTTTGTATTACACTTATTACGTCCAGCAGTGAGAGGGAAGAGCTGGTGTTGATGTGCTAATGACTGTAAGGGCTTACGGTTGGGGTTAGGTGATTGAGTGCCATCATCCACACTGAAGCTCTTGGCTCTTGATTCTCTGAGAATGAAGGAGCCACAACATCTTATAATAACAGAATGTCAGGACTTCATGGAGGGCTGTGAGCCTCCTCTGGATGACGCTTTTGTATTAAGACTTTACGTTAGGTTTATCAGAAGATCATCGCTACGTCACTCTTATAATTTCGACCTGTGTCATGTTCTTTCAGGGAACAGCCGATCTACACCACCAGGGCCCACGTCTTCCAGATTGACCCGACCACCAAGAAAAACTGGGTCCCTGCCAGCAAACAGGCCGTCACTGTCTCCTATTTTTACGACAGCACACGGAACAGCTATCGCATCATCAGTGTGGATGGATCCAAGGTATGTATGTCAAAGACTATAAAAAATATATATACACACATTATATATATATATATTTATGTATATACTCTCTCTCCCTATATATATATTTATATAGTGTGTATATATGTACACACGTACATATATATGCATGTACTTGTATGTTTATGTGTATATTTATGTACACACACATACAGTATATTATGTCAATACTTCAAAGGTTTAGTGATTTTTTCCTGAGGCCTTCAGTATTTGTATATAAATTACACAATAATAAGAATCTGTTTCACCAACAAGAAGATAATTAATTGCAGTCTTACAAACATGAATGCATTAAATGAGGATCAGAAATGACTACAAGTACTACTCTAGTCATCAGTACACACTGATGAGACCCAATCACCCGACGGAGGCATTGAAGTGGAAGCTGAACACAGGCGATGCTCACAGCATAAAGACAACCTGTAGGCTGATTTTGTTAGTGCAGGGCTTTGATATGTGTGACCACCTCTGCAGTCCTGTCACATGACTGAACAAATCCAGATAAATCAGCAACAGTCCTCCGACAGAGCGAGCACCATCAACAGACAAAATCATTAGGTCTAATTTACCGTCATCAACAACTGTCTGAGAGAAATCACTTCAGGGTCAGTGAGTTCCGGTCCCACCGGATCAATGTGTCCGTTTTCAACAACATACACAGTCACACGACTTTTGAAGGGGAGTTTCAATGGTCTTTAAAAAAAAGTTGAGTCACGTCGTGTGTGATGATGAGAGACGGCGGGAGAGTCCAAATCCCAGCTACATACCTCTGTCCTTCACCGAGCGGAAGAGTAGATTATGCGTTTCCATGGCGATCAGAGTCTCTTGTCTGAGTACAAACTGTGGGAGAGTTATGACGACGGTTTCCCTCTGCTGACAGACAATCTCCTTCACGGTGTCAAATCTGATTTACCCACAGAGACTCTGCAGAGAGTGAGCACGTTGGCAGTTACCGCCGTTTGTTTATTTCCATTTACCAGTTATATTTTCTGAAAAAAAAAATAGAAAATATCTGGGGATCGTGTCAGATTTTAGCAAACAATAAGATTTGAGACCTTCAGCCAATGAGATCAATAATCAATAAATTAAGCAATGACCAAGTGATGATGGAGAAATAGATTTAGTTTGACTTTTTTTTTTTTAAAAAAAAAGTAGAGGCGGTTTCAGCTGGCTTGGGCATTAAAATTGTAATTGTCACCTTATCCCCATTTATGACTTCCCATAATTTACAAAGCTTTTCCAGGTTCTGACAAATCCAACCAGAGGCTTGACGTGTGTTTACGTATCTACAGGTATCTGTGATGTTTTGTTGCTAATTGCAATATTAGCATTAAAAAGAGGCGACAATGTAGATTTAAAGTTTCCAAATTGGTGATTTGTGTTTTGTAGTGAGGCTTGTCTATCAGGTACTTGGGGGTGTACGGCACCACAGAGCTCTCAGTTGACAAATGTACCTTTAACATAAACAAGTGCTTTTGATTGGTCTGTTTTGGGTGAAACCTGCTTCCATTGGCTACCTCACAGGAGCAGGAGCTGGAGACGTCTTCCTCACACTCCTGTCTCCTGTCATTCATACATCTCGTTGTACGAGTGACGCTGCAGAATAAGCACAACTCTCCGCAGACACATCAGCAGCTGTAGCTGTAGCCGAGGCTTCCACAGACCCTCGGGGGTGTTGGCTAACTGTCGAGCTACAAGCTGCACCTCCTGTGCCACTTGATCCACAGCTCCAGCTCACCACGCGCACAGCTGCTGGTGTCACTCTGCCCAGCCCCCCCCACTCCCCCAGCCCGCTGCACCCTCCTACTCCCTCTGAGTCATACGCTCTCCCATGTGCCAACACATGGTCACGTGGTCCACAATCACAGGGGTGGACGCGCGATTACGTTCATTTACAAATGATATCTCTGGAGTCCACTCTTGGATTTACGTGGTCGTTATTCATGGTTTTATAATAATGTTGGGGATGACGCACGTTAGTTTAATGGTTAAGATCGAACATGATGGAATTTTCTTAAAAAAAGAAAAATACCATTTTGAACCACATATCGGTTGTTTAAAGTGAACTGCCAACCCAGTGGTTCTGAAAGTAGGGGGCAGCACCCCCGTCAGGGGCAGAGGTGTTGGAAACCTGGTTCACTGCCATGCTTCGAACCTGATGGAGACATTTAGAGTGTGTGTGATGAGTTTGTGTCTCTATTCACACAAAGGCCGTGTGTGTGTGTGTCATTCTGATCTGTGTCGATTCATCTCTCGTTGGCAGTCCATTAGCAGCCGCGCCCCGTACGCCGTAAATGGAACACAAATGTTTAAAAGTCTCGTCGGTCGATTTGTCCCTCGTCATCTCAGCTTCATATGTGTCTGTGTCCAGTGATCGATTTGTCCCTCGTCATCTCAGCTTCGTATGTGTCTGTGTCCAGTGATGCAACAGTGAGTTGTTAAAAAGAAAACTTGAGCCAATGAAAAGAAGGGGGGAGAAACAGAGAGAGAAACGTGGGGGAGTAGAAAAGGACACGGGTCTGTCATCATTTTGAATCACTGAATCCTGTGTTGGAAGCCATGTTGCTATGAAACAAGACCTGGGCCTCTATTAAACTGTCCTCTGTTATTTCTCTGGCGTTTGGTCACGTGCTGCTTCAGTTCACCGTCGTGGTGTCGAGGCAGGAAGTGACTTCGTAAACACTACTGTTGTCACAGACATGGAATTGGTGGCATAGGATTAGGCCTGTGTTCATGAGCAGTGGAACACACACACACACACACACACACACACACTCAGCCTGGGTGCCTCAGCGTCTCAGGCACTGGTTCCAATTTTAGCCTGCAACAAATGTTTTCTGACAGCTGATCTAGTGCACGGTGACAACAGGTGAGACTCCTGTAGAGAAGGGACTGTGACGTGATCGCTCTGAGGTTAGTGGGTCACCAACAAATCAGTCTGTGTGCCAACACTCTATTGATTATTTCCATATAGATCTCTTGTGTAAATGCTCGTCCCGTCCTAACGTCTGAGCTCAGTTTAATTATTACCTGTAGTTTACTTCACAGCTCTGTGTGTTCCTGCGTCTCACCATATCTTCACGATACATTTTTATCTTTACAACAACACTTGGTGGATTTCCTTTATTGTTTCTGAGCCTACGTGCTGCATTAACACTGGGATTTAAAGTGAAAGAGTGCAGAGAAGTCAGAGATGTTTTTTACATGTTTGAGTTTTTAAAGTAGATGCAGAGGATGAGGACTCAGAGTCCAAATGAGAATTGTCCAACTTGGACTGTAACTGTGCCTTAGGTCTGGTCTAGTCTTGTTGTGGACTGTCGACTGACTGCCAGGCTGGGAGGGATGGAAACCTGACCCTTTAGTTTTTGACTTTGACCTGGGAGAAAGGTCATGAGCCGACTGTACGTGTTTACTGGCTGTGTAGTTACACAAAGTACACAAAACCTGGACTGAAGCACATGATGGAGGAAGAAAAGCTTCAGATACAGATTTGGGCTGATTTTATTTAACAATTTAATCTGTGGACAAACTAGTTGATTAAAATGAAATATTAAAGTATTGTCTGAGTACCCATGGGCAAAACTGTTGTAGCAGAGCAGCGTTTGCTAGCTCAAATAAATCAGAGAATGGAAAAAGCAGGAAACTGGAATTTAATTAATAATTTAGAAGAAAAAAAAAAGATTTATCCTTGTTCACAAACCAACTTATATACAGTAAAATATATACATTTATATAATAATAAATTATAGGAATTTGAAAAGTATTTCATCCATTGATAAAAGCAAGAACAGTGGAAACTGTGATCACTTTGTTCTGGTTAGAAATACATAGATATTATTTGTTTCTGACTTCCCTTCTTTTAAACAATGTGTTGTGTAATTAGTTCCAAAAGTGACCAGTGTTCTGGGCTCCTGTGGGTGGCGTGTCACTCAGCCTGTTATCATCATTCCTCTCCTCCTGACATCATCCACCCAGCGGAGGTGTGGCGTTTATCCACAGAATAACCGCTGTATTGTACCAACACAGAGCATCATTGTGAAGTTTGGGTAAATCCTAAAAACACCAGTTTGTCTTTTAACTTGTGCCACTTATTAGATTAGGGATTAGGGTTTAACTTGTGCCACTTATTAGATTAGGGAGAAACAGAAGGTGTTTCACTGACAGCATGTGAATTAATTACATTAAAAAAAAAGTTCAGCATGTGAATTAATTACATTAAAAAAGAAAAAAGTCGTTTCCCTGTGAGATTTCTGTTGGTTCTTGAGTGATTATGACAATAATGAGCTTTTTCTTTTTGTGTTGAAAAATCTGTTTTGTAGTCGTTGGTGTGGGCAATGTGAAACAGTGGGACACAGCCGTGTGGACAGTAGTGGATTGTCTCTGAGTGAATCAATAGAACTATTCATCACAGTGTTTATAGTATTCATCGGTGCCGGCCGCTACTGGAACTTCCTTTCCAAAATATCTGTGACAGATGTGACGTTTTAAAGCACGATATTTTAATATAATAATTACAAAGACTATTATTTTGTGTTCTCTTCTTTGGCTGAACAACAACAACAACAACAACAACAACAGTTTTATCTCATGGTCCACACTCAGTCCTTTTCTGTACAAAAAGATTTTTTGTTTTTTGCTTTTTGCTTTTTTGCTCCAGTCAAAGTCATTTTGACACTTGAATTTCAGACTTGCTTCAGTGATTCACCAGTGACTTGGCAGAATTCTCTTTTTAAGATTTTCCCCAGTTTCAACTCGAGGTTTTGAACAGGGGTCTTCAGTGTTGTTCAGGCCAAGGAATTCTAAACTCGTAGAGAGGATGAACACAGAGTCTTTTACATTAAACTAGGCCAAATGTCATGTATAAAACATATGTGGTTTTTTTCACACTGATGCAAAAAAAAAAACAAACAAAACACATACAAAATATTTAATTCTTTTTTAAATTATCTTACCACCTAAAAGTTGTTTACATGGACCACGTAGGGGCTGCGAGCTGACTGTTGAGAACCTTTTAATCTTTAATTATTTGAAACATAATTTCCCTGCTTGGGCGTATGTAAAAGAGTATAAGGATCTAAACAAAGTGAATATGTAATGTTTACGTTTTTCAAACATAACGTTGATTTTTTTCTAAATTCAAAAAACAGAAACCCTTATCTGAAATTCCTCAGGGTCAAAAGGTCAAATGTATCAGTGCGATTTCCTCCCGATGTAGAAGCAATTGACTGTAATATTACTGTCATCTCTTGCAGGTGATTATCAACAGCACCATCACACCCAACATGACCTTCACTAAAACATCACAGAAGTTTGGCCAGTGGGCGGACAGCAGGGCCAACACTGTGTTTGGACTGGGCTTCGCCTCAGAGCAGCAGCTGTCCAAGGTGAGCGCAGAAGAAATTCCACCGACGTGTGAAATGTCACGCAGGGTGACGAGGCCGTTCACGGATTTGATCTGCTATTAATTGGTCAGTCAACGCTGACTTATGTAAAGGTTCCGAGGTGGTCTACAGTAAAACCGGAGAAAAGGAAATAAAACAGGTTCAATTTTTCAAAGAAAAACACATTAAGGAACAAAGTTAAAAAATGTGTTGAGCCTTAAGAGCAATTCTGAATAAATTAGGTTTAATAATAATGGGGGAAATTCACAACCGCTACACTATAGAACAGGCAAGGGCGAAATAAGGCACCATCAAATAATGCTTGGAGGAATTGCCCATAAAAGCCAGAGGTTTCACTTGGTTCTAGACGTTTCCTTTTTCTGTCTGCGTGTGATTACCAAATGCCTCAGGTTTGATGGGAAACCAATATAAAACAGGGATGATGTTCAACGCCAACATAAAGTCCATTAAAATAAACAGTTCTACAGCCAACAGAATGTTGAATAGATCTTTTCGATACCAGGAAAATTCTGGAACCGTTTGACTTTGGCTGTGATTGAAGGTGTGTGTGTGTTCGTGTAGGAGTGAGCGGCTGGTCATTAACTGAACACAATGTGTGATGAATGACGGTTGATCAGCCTGGAGTCACCATCCAGCCAATCATTTCTGTGATTTCCCAGAAACCCTTTCACCACGAGCCGCTCATCACGCCGCCTGTTCTGATGCTGACGATCACTGACCATTCACATCTCTCTGTTGTTTGCAGTTTGCTGAGAAGTTCCAGGAAGTTAAAGAAGCAGCTAAGCTAGCCAGGGACAAGTCTCAAGATAAGGTGGAGACGCTGAATAATCACTCCCAGGTAAACGCTGTCCCTCTGTCCCTCTGAGATTCTCACACAGTCTCACCAAAATGCTGACATATCAAACCAGAAGCCTCAAATTAGTCAGAATTTAAATAAACACATGTTGCATGGTGTTCATCCCTCGGTCCATTCTCAATCGTTGCTCTGATGCTCATGCATCTTCTACACACACAGTAAGTCTTTGTTTCACCAAAGCAGCTTGAGCTTAAAATACCACCTGAACTCCCGGCATGTGTTTGTGGAGGCCTGAACATCAGGTCAGACGCCCGGCTGGTTTCAAACCAGACTCTTTGAGGGCCGGACAGTAAATAAGTCTACGACTGAGTGTGGGGGGAAATTCAATAGTTGCCCTTTTTCTAACTTGACTTTTTACAGTCTTGAAATGATTCAACCACCAGAGTCTGTGAACACAGCTCTTAGTCATCATGACTGAGAAGTCCTTCTTAGCCCAGACATTTCTACCATGGTATCACAGTGAGCAGTGAGTGAGACCAATTTAACATAAACGTATTACTGCACAGTAAAAACCTCAACATCATTAGTTTGTCATCGAAGGTAAATACAGCCGTCCTGGTCGACTGAACAGCAGGTCACTGTAGTCCCACTGACTCCAGATGGCAGGAACCAGCCTCTGCTCCAAGACTCACTGCACCAGGAGACCTGCTGGGCCTCATGATCATGAAATAATAAATACTGGCACCAGCTTCTCCCTCTCCCTCTCTCTCTCTCTCTCTCCCTCTCCCTCTCTCTGTCTGTTCCTGTACAGCATTTTCACAGAGAGACTTCTCTATATTTACCAAGAAAGTTCCATTTAAGCCTTAGTCTGAGCTTTGTGTGTCTGACTGTGTCATGTCAGGAGTCTGGACGCGAGACGCCCACTTCCAACCAGGCGTCCAGCATCAACGGGACAGATGACGAGAAAATCTCACACGTCGATCCTGAGGCTGTGCAGCTGCAGACGGAGAATGAATGTCTGAAGAGTGCAGTAGAGCAGAGGTGAGGCCTTGGCTACATGGAAACGGCCGGTGATGCAGAATTGGGAAATTTCCTAAAACTCTTCAGTCATCTGGCGAGGGCGGGGGTTAACGGAACAGCCGTTCACACTCTCATTCACACTACAGGGTAATTAAGATAATTAATTGTTGAATCACGTATGTTAAAGTCAAGGCCCGTGGGCCAAATGCAGCCCGCAATGTCGTTATTTATGTGGCCTCCTAAAATAATACCAGCAATTAATCCACAAATCTAATTACAATTTAAAATCAAGCAACTACATCTCCCATAATTCATGTCAGTTTCGTGACCTGCGTCCTGGTGGTTGGAATTAAAAATGATTAATCCCAGGGGAATCACAGTCTGTTCAACTTTAATATTTTCTGGCTGAGGCGTTGTCAGCACTAGACTCTTAAGTGAATATGAATCCTGTTTGGACCCACAAACTGGACCCAGTTTTTAAATCCCAGCCCCTGGAGTGATTGATTTCGACAGCTCGACGATCTCTCACATCAAGTCCAGGTGGTTTTGTTCTTGTTACTCTGTCGTTTGTCTGTCCTGGTCCAGAAACTTCTCATCAGTGTCCTCATACCTAACAACAGTGTTCTGGGACCATCTCCAGTTTTCAAAGGGAGTGGAATGATCTCCAATCCAGATGTTGTCAGTGTGAAGCAGTAATTACAATAATGACCAGATGTGGAGCCATATGCAACGAAAACTGCCCCCAGGAAAAAAAATCCTAACAGCTCCACCCTTATTAAAATATGATTTTCAAATCTAGTGCAAACCATGGATCATGTATGTTTATTTTACTTTTCCATTCTCTCGACTGGTCTATTTGTATTTAGTGTAATTAAACAAAATATATACATATAAAATATATACATACATATTTATGTATGTATATATGTGTACATATACAGGTATATCTACCCTTCTACTCTCTTTACTATAACTCTACTGCATGTCATATACACTGTATGATTGGCTTGTATATGTAACAGTATTGTGTTATCAACCACTGCTCCCTATAGTTAACCCTTTTACACTCCCTGTACACGAAGTACACGAGGTACATGGAATTTTTGGAATTTGGAATTTCCTATTCAGTAAACGTGTCAGAGCCGTGAAACCAGCCATGAGCCAAAGAACGCTGCTGTGCAGGTCTGTCCACATCTGTCGGAGAGACCGAACACGGAAACTCAGCCGTGAACGAGGAAGGTGGCAGCGATGCATGCTAAACACACGTTAGCAACTCTGTCTGGTCCACAGCAGTGAGACTGAGGCAAAACAGTGGTTTGAATGACTACTGACCTCAGAGCAGCAGCTCATCAGACCTTTGTAGCATTTCACCCCCACAACCCCCCCACTCCCCCTCACTCTGTGACTTCCACCGCTGCTCAATGAGTAGTCAGTGAAATTGCAGCAGTGTGTGTCGCGTTAGTGGGAACGCACTGCAGGCATCTCCAAGGCCGACTACTGTACCTACACTTTCTTTCTATTAATACCCCACTCCCCTCTTCTCTCTGTGTGGCAGCAACACCAATGCCAAAAAGTGGGAAACAGAGCTGCAGACTTTAAGAGAAAATAACGCCAGGCTGGTGGACGCACTCCAGGAGTCTTCAGCTAATGTCGAGAGCTGGAAAAAACAACTCGGTGCCTGCAAGGCAGAGAGTGACACGCTCAGGGAAAAGGTAACTCAGCTGTTCAAGGTTAAACACAAGGTCCCGACTCTTGTTTTTCCAGAAACTGTGTTGGAAAAATTGTCTCTCTCTGTGTATATTACACACAATTTTCTTTCCAAAAGGACAGAAGTGTAATACTGTACTCAAAGTTGACAAATGTTGCCTTTATCATGACTAACTTTTATTGGCATATTATGATATTACTTTTTTTTTTTTCTAGAATTAGTTTCTGATCAGGTTTATTCACCTGTGTTGTAAATACAGAGTAGCGCCGTAACTCAAATACAGTAGCTGTCACTTTGACAGTCATGTGATTGTAGCCGTTAATCAAGATGTTACTTTGACAGTCATGTGATTGTAGCCGTCAAGATGCGCCAGCGCAGATATTTTTATACACTGCATTTTGTTTGAACCTGATTTATATTCATACAGTTGATGACGATTGCGTGTGGTGTTTTAAATTATAATTTTAAAAATAATTACAATGAGTTAAAAATGATTTTTATCAGTCTTTTGTTTTTATCAATTACTAACATTCCAGGCGACCACATGGGGTCACGACCCCAAGTTTGACCCCAAAACTTAATCAGCAAAAAAAAAGTTATTTTTCATTCTTCTATGCAAACGGTGACAAAAACTGAAAATCCATTTAATTCCAAACATTCAGTAATCACTGACACTAACTTTTATCCTTTGTTTTATTATAGAAGTAGAGTCATCCTCCTTCTTTATAGTATAGTATAACAATTCATTTTTCTGTTAGTCAGCTAGTCTACCATGTTGTCTCAAACTACCTTTATTTTTACTCCTTTTTCACCTCTACATAGGCTCTGGCGCCCGCAAATGGAGGCGCGCCTCACACTTTGAAAACCCTCTGCCTTCAGATAATGTCAGTGTAAATTCAATTTGATTAAAATAAATTCATTATATCACTCATCTTTGACAACTCATTCCCTATTTCCTCGCGTTTTCGTTTAGTTACATCAATAGATCCTCAACTCTATCAAATGTCTCAATTACCAACGTACACTCCTAGTGGATTATAATGTTATCCTAGAAAACGTGCACAGGTACAGAGCGTGAAAAGACTAACATAAATCAAATACATCATCATAAACAGGAGTCTGTGCCACGGTGTGAGACCAGACCGTCTCCCACCAGTCTGCAGCGGGTCTAATCTGAGAGCAGCTGATAAACTGGTGGCTCCTGCACCAGAATCCCAGCTCCCAGGTTCACTAAAAATAGAAACATTTTAGTTTCATAATCAGCGTGGGCTGTTACTGCAGCTGGACTAAGACTTTATACTGGAACCTGCATCACAGTCACAACTCTGTGTTTACAGTCTACAGACTAACAATAATAACAATCACACATTGTATTTAAAGTAGACAGAGAGACATAAATCACCATGGAATATATTATAACATTCACAAGTATGAACACAGAAGAGTGCATTCATAATTGTGAATTAAATATAAAATAAACATAAAACAAAAATAATTTTTCCTTTCACATTTAACTCCTGTTTTATTTTTAATTGTTGTGCCTTAAGCTGTTTTTGATTTCTTTTTAATTCTTACTATTGTGTGAAGTAAGGTCTTGTTGTGTGAGATGCAATTAAAAAAAGAATCCCTATGTAATTAATTAAAGTGGCTTTTAATTAAATAATCATGATAAATTACGTTATTGTCAAACATTTTTAGCAATTGTTTTTATTTATTTTTTGATTGAATCAGTGAATAGACACACAGATGAAGTTGTGCAACACAAATGTTTATTTTCTATCTTTGTTTTTTTTTTTCCTAACCCCTTCTCTCTGTTGTGTATTCAGATTGCGGAACTCGAAGCCCAGTGCAATGAAGCCAATCAGGAGAAGCAGAAAAACGCCCAGCTGACTGTACGAGTGCAGGAGCTGCAGGCTGAGCTGCAGGAAAAAGAGATGGTGAGACCGTGGCTTCACGTTTGTCTTGAACAGGTTTAAATGATAAAAAAAAAAGGAATTCATACTTTTACTTTACTTTTTTTTCAACTTTCTGCCTCTCCTTCTTATTGTTGTATCTTTGGATACGAGTCACAGTATAAAAAGTTTGAAAAGATCTAAATTAGATTATTTAATCAGTCACTGACGTAAACGAGACTCACTGCAGAAGACATAAAATGGTGGTCATGGCGACTCGCTGGACACGAGGGTAGGACAGAAAAGGAAAAGAAATGTGTTGGGAAATAAGAAAAATATCGATACAGACGTCGTAAACAGAGAACCCGATACATAAATCTTAAATCTGGACTTCCTTACTAACAGGATTTTAAAATCCTGGACTAAGGTATTAGTTTAGGGAGAAGCCGGGCTGTAGATGTTCACGAAACGTAACAAAAAAAAAAAAAATGAAGCTGTGATCCGTGAAGATTGCAGATCTGAAAAAGTACTAATGAAAGTGAAGTTGGTTTTCAAATCAGTAAAAACACCCTGAGGAGCAGCTAGTCCATGAAGGATGCTAAATGAACCTAATGCTAGTCCTCATCTCACCTCTGTTTTTTTAATCTCCAGGAGTTGGAGAACCTGAGGAAACAGGCAGAGATCATCCCTCAGCTCATGGCAGAGTGTGAGAGCATCACAGTAAAACTGCAGGTAAGTCACCCAGGAAGCTGACGTTCCTCTGATCGTTGATCTGTTCTGCTACAGAGTCACTTGTCACATTCACATCAATTATTGACTATATTAAAAGGTTCTTTAACCTCTGCCATCACTTAGAGTTAAATTGGTCAACGTGAGAATGTTGGTTTGACTTGGTCAGGTACAAGAACCCTTGAGCAGCACAGATTCACACCCCAAACCTCTTCTTCATCTTCCTCATAACAAAGAGCACTTGTTCTTCAAGGCTCTTCCGTTGTTCACTTACATCAGACGTTCATTTAAACCAGAAGTACGTGGAACAGTGAACACTTCAATGCCAGGTATGACATCAGCAGCAGGGTGACGCTCATCCCCCTCCAACTGACTCAGGGCAGGGTTTTTGTTTTTGTTTTTTTTTCCTCTGTTGTGCGTGTGCCGTCTTTCATTCTGAGCAAGGGTATAATCAGACCAACAGAACACGCCTGACGTTCCTGTCTTTTAGGAACTGATTTGTTTCTGCAGCTACAGTAACGACAGAAACAAGTGTCAAATACAATATTTAGGTGTAACATTGTAAAAGAAAATTAAAAATCTGGAAAAAAAAAACCAACACGTGTGTGTGCGTCTGCATATATGTGTATATACATATACATACATATATACAGTACATACATACTATGCATATGTGTGTATATATGTGTATGCATATACACATGTACTGTATGTATATACATATACATACATATATACAGTACATACATACTATGCATATGTGTGTATATATATATATACGTATATATATATATACGTATGTATATATATGCGTATATATATAATCTCTTCAGGACTTCAATTTTCACATCCATAGTTTAGGTGATAGTTGTTTCTCCTGCGTTAACATGGCTCTGAATGATCAGGCTTCCAGCTTCCATCTGTGAGTTGATGGTCGCTGCTCTACACTATTTAAAGGCGACACCCGATGAGGTGATCAGGTGTCATACGTCAGCTGGAGGATACAGTCATGCAGGCGCTACACCTTTTTGGCACTCCTATTTTAAACCCCTCCTTTCAATAGAATCTGTGGCATTTTTACTTCTGTTGCCTACGAGTCCGACTGTTTTTAACCTAACGTCTCCACCAATTATTGAATTTGGAATTTAGCTTTTTTTTTTTTTTAAATTTACCTGCACTAAATACTTTCCACCCAAAAGTGTAGTTTTTGTGAACACACGTTTTTTAATTGTTTTACTTTGCATAAAGAAAATACACAATTACTATAAAAACTTTGACCCTGAGCCCTTTCCCACTTTATGCCTTTCTTTTTTTTTTCTCGTTTCCCACCTCTGCTGAAGTGTTCTGGCGCCCCCCAGGGGATGTGTGTTCCCCAAAACAACTGCCTTCACAAATAACGAGAGAGACAACTGTAAAAAGTTTCAAAAGGCAGTCACTGGAAACAGTCCACTTCTACTGGCGCCAGACAAGAGCTGCATAGGAGAATTGAATTTAAAAAAAAAAAAAAAATGTAAATGGACTGAGAGCACAGCAGTTGTTCTAAGTGGAATCTAACACTTTCATCAAAGAGGATTGGATTTGATGGTTCAGTGCAGTCCATGCTTAGAATCAGGGGTGTCAAAATCATTTTCACCAGGGGACGACATCAGCAATACTGTTCCCTTAAGGGCCAGTTGTAAATGGTAAAACTGTATAGACAAAAACGACTCCATAATGTATTAATAAATGTTTTTGCCACAGTTGGTCCCCGGGCCTTGAGTTTGACACACAAGCTTTAAATCCTTCAAAGACTGAATGGATTTACTCCTCAATGTTGAGATGTATTTTCAACTGCTTCCAAAATGTCTGTCCACAGGCTGCTGAGACAAAGAACAAAGAACTGGAGGGACGGCTAGGAGGTCTCCAGGTGGAGGTGGACGACAGCAGACGAAAGCAGGGCAACATGAAGGGCGAGCTGAAGAAGTTCATGGATGTTCTGGACGGAAAGATCGACGAGCTGCACGAGGTCCGACAGGGTCTGTCCAAGCTGGGCATCGACAACTGAGGCAACGGGCGCTCAGCCCAGAGGGTCAGAGGTCAGGTACGGAAAGGTTCACTACTGTACGTCTTCAGGGCAGAAACTATGTGGCACCACCCAACCACCCACTCCCCCGGACCCCTCCCCCACAAGGTGACGTCCACTCAGACACTATCAGCTTGGGATTCTAATAAACACTACCATGTGAGGAAAGGTGCTGTTGGAGAGAGGAGGAGACGGGCAGACCGGGTCGCTCTTCATCATCACAAGAACAAAAAAAGAAAACTGGTGGAGGGTTTTCAGATTCAGTTTGTCTGGGAGGCCGCAGCATTTCTACAACGGTGATCTGAGTCTTGGGTTAAAAACAAAAAAAGGGCTAAAAACAAACAAGACGCAAAGAAAACTCTGTTCATCATCACTCCAGTAATAATTGGTGTTAAACCCTGTGCCACAATCCCACCCCCTCCACCGCACCCCTCCCTCCAGAGAATTACAGAAGAAACCGCTCTGTCCCTGCTGTTGCCTCGTTTCTATCTCAGGTGTGTGTCAGAAGACAATTTGTACTCGTCAGATTATATGCACATACATTTGAAATGGCCATGACACAAAGTGCCTCCAGGTGAGTCCACGTCCACCTGGTGAGGAGAAGTGGCCAAGTGATGACCATCGCCAGGATAATGAAGCCAATCCCTGCGAGGAGAAGTGAACGCCACAGTGGCCGACTAGACGAGAGGAAAAGCAAATGCGGCTCTGAGACCGGACCACAGCGTCTTCACTCAACACGTCTCTTTAATTACTGTAGGCAGGAGAAAACTCTTCTCTCTGGAGCTTTCTTTCCAAAAAAAAATAATAATCCAAAAACCAATTCTAGGAGTCCACAGTGAGTGTGGTGCAGTGTTTCCAGGACTCTGCCTGTGCAGTAGTGTTGTTGTTGTTGTCCAGGTGTAGAACAAAGATCCTTGTCTCTAACGCTGTAACAGAGTATTTCTACATGCCGGTTTTTGTCATGGTGACGGTGACTTTAAGGGTGAAGGGATTTTGGTGCTGAACACGTTCAGTTGATGTGTCACTACAGCTCTATTATGGTTTATGTTGTTTACTTTTGCTTATTTATTTTCTTGTGCCTTTGTTACTGCTGTTTCTGGTACTTTCAACCCATTAAATCCACATTAACTAACTAAGAGAAGTGCGACTGTTTTCAACACAGTTCTGTTGTTTGAGGAGAAAATGAGGAAAATCGAAATCAGCAGACACCGACATGTCTACTGTTTCGAAGCTGATTTTCCAATTTTATTGTGCTCAAAATGTCGTTACAAGTGCTGCGTAACAAAAGACTACACCAATGTGAATGTTTAAAAACAACTTTTCTACATTTGGGTCGGTGTAAAGCAGTGCAAGCAGGGCACTGTTTTCTGTTTGAACTTTGTCTAATCACATCAGGCTGCCGTGACAATGTCAAAAATGTGTGAACAATTTTAAAAAAATCCATTTTAATTAGTATTCTAGCTTCATTGTTATAAATAAGAGCTTCTTCTTTGTAAGATAAATTACAAACAAATACAGCTTATTTAACAACATTTTGCTGGAACAGGAAATACAGTAAGTCAAAAAGTTCCTATAAACATTTAACTCATCTATGAAGAAATATTTAAAAGCAATTTCAGAAGTAATGATGGCTCCATAATGGCAGAGGAATGATTTTTAAGCAAAAGTCTACAAAATCCCTAGATTTACACTGGTCTGCTAAAATATTTCATGTTGCGTAGTACTTGCAACAAGATTCTGAGCATGTTCAGCACAGAAGAGCCGTCTCTGAGAATCCAACATGTATTTCTTTCATACCAACAGCCCTTACTGACCCCTCACAGCTTTGCCGTGTTAAAAACAGATTTCTCCTTCAACCCTAATATCTCCACACATGTACAATAATAACAGGTTTCATCCTGAGGATTTGTTTGCAGAACAGTGTCGCAGATGCTTTGTGGGAAGTTCAGCCTGAACCGTTTCAAATCCAAAGGAACATGTTGTGAAATATTTTCTTGGTGATACTATAATATTGTAAGTCTGTGTTTTTCATCACTGTTATAAAACTCCGATAAAAACAAAGGGACTTCTTCCTCATCCTTGAACTCTTTAGTCTTTTTTTCCCCCACCAGAACATCTTTGCGTGAACCTTCCTTTTAAAAAAAACGCCTCTTGTGCACTTTTGTGACTCCTGTTCAATATTGTACAATAGAAAAAACAATTGTTAAAGTTTAGTTTAATAACAAACCTGAGTTACTGTGTGGTTATTTCTTTATTTGGGTTCAAATTAAGGTCATCTTTCACAACGCTTCACAGACGAAGACCAGAGTTTTCACTAATCCTCATTGGACTGGAGCAGTAAACTGACAAACGAGCTTCCTGCTGTCTCCAAAATCCTGAGGCCTTTTCTCCTGGATGATAATCCAACTGAATGCAGGGGAAGCCGACCTCCAGCATCACAGATGCCTCCTGTTGAGACTCCAGCACTGAAGCCGAACCACTTCCTCTGATGTTGTTTACACAGGACTATATATAGCTGTAATCCCCACACAGGTGTACAGCGAGGGATGATGGGGGATTAAATCACAAGTAAGTGACATATTTCACCAGGATTATGACAAGTAGGAATATGATAAATAGGCTTAGAAATGTGAGAAATTCCTGTAGCAGAGGGAACAGCTCATTTCTCCAAACACCACCGTCTGAACATTCCTTCCTGCAGCTCCAGAAATAAATCAACCAAATTAGTTTTTGACTTTTTTTTCCAGCTTTGATAGAAACGTGTAACTTATTTGAAGAAGCACAGAATGAAATCCAAGATTTTGTGTTTGGAGTAGAGATTATCTTTCAGAAATGAAAATAAAGGATGCTCACCACAGTCTCAGATTTAACTAAAGACTTAAATAGTTATACCATATATATATATATATATATAAAATTAGTACCAAAGGTCCACATCAGTCCCTTTATCTTCTGATATTCAGCCCATAGAACTTGTCAATACAATTTTTAAAATAAATTCTAAATATTAAATTAAATCGTGGGTTGTCTCTTTGCCAAGTACATTTTCTATTAAAGAAACCAAAACGTGAAATCTAACCTGTGTGAGAGCACGAAAATGACATCAAACCAAACGTCCAAAGTTGTGGAGCAGAAGGACATCCAAAATTGAAAAAGACGGCTGCAACGGCCAAAATTGTGGAAAAGGATCGCAAACTGGACGTCAAAATTGTATGTTGCAGTTATATAAACTGCCAGTGGGGTCTTAATTGAAAAAAATTACAAATGTTCCTATGAGACTAGTTTATGGCCACCCTGGGAAATTAAGGACAGCAAACAGGTCGGTATGGAACCAAGAGGAAGTGCTACAACAGCTCTGTACCCAGTACTAAAGACCCCTGTCTTCAGAGATGAGAAACAACATGTCAGTCCAGCCTTGGTTCAACATCTGGTCCCCAACACACACACACACACATCCAGAATAGACAAACTTGAAAGTACAGACTGGAGAAATTCTGCTGCTACTCTCCTCAGCTGTGTCACACACATTATGGTTTACTTTAGACTGAACAGTGGTAATTATGTTGGCTTAATGTCGACCGACAACTCGCCATTTTTAGATGCAAGATTTTAGTAAAAAGGTAAGACAGACAGGACAGAACAGCATGGCAGCTGGGGGGAAAAAAATGTCACGACAGGAAGCCATGTTAGACCAAGATCAGCTCAGCGGCTGGGATAGAACAGACGTAGTGTCACTTACCTTGCATGTCAAATTTTAATTAAAAAAAAAAAAAAAAAACACAACACAATTAATAATAATGAGCTTTCTTTATTTCTGATTCTGAATGTCTAAGGACAGGGACAGATGGAGGCTGACAGGACAGCCATCCAGAGAGGAAGACAACTTAAAGTTTTGGACTCACCCTTTGTCGACTGCACCTAAAAAGTAATAATTGTTACTGCGCACAGAACGTCTTCACACTTACTGACTGGAACTGCTGAGCTAAAAAACCACTCCAGTCACTCACACACTTCAAGGCCACGTCACTCTGAACCACCATGGTCCCAAATCAAACCCACACACGCAGCAGTTCCACATCCACACCATTAGAAAATAGGGACCAGAATCACAACAACTGTGAGCAGCGAGCCGTCCATCTGTAAGACTTCACTGACTGACTGACTAACCATCCCAAAAAATCAGAAAGGAAACAAACCAGACCAAAGACAGGGGTCCATTTGCTCAAACACAAATACATACAACTGAGAACAGCAGCGGTGCGGCGACCACACAGACTGAAATGATCATTTAAAAAAAATAAATAAATAAAAAAAACAACAGTCCTTACTGTGTTGAAGATCTTAGGGACAAACAATCTGGAAAATAAAGCAGAGGAATCATGTTAAGACCTGATGTTTGGGCATTAGCACAACATTTGTCAAATCAAGATTTCCTATATTTAATAGAAAACCAGAGTTTGACTCTACAGATCACCTCACCTTGTCTTTCAGTTTCAGGAGTAAACTTTGACACTGGACAACTTTGACCTGGTCTCCTTGTGCAGAAATCCCAGTGTATCTGTTCATTTTAAACATCGTTGATTAGAACATTAATATAATGTAAACAGTTAAAAAAAAACACTAAATTGGTAAAATGTGATTAAATGACAAAACACATTCTCCAAACAAACTCCACGTGACCACGTGGATCCGCCATTTTAAATTAACTTTGGCAAAGGATTTAAATGCATTTTCTTTCCCTTCAAGTGAAGGCTAAGCTACCCAGCTAATGCTAATAAACTGAGCCCAAACGCCAACAGTTGGGAATAAAGGTCCAAAAGTAACCTACCTCTCTAACTGAGCCTTTCACACGGACCAGGTAGAGCCGCCATTAATAACTTCGTTCACCTGCGGCTTTTAAAGCACGCGGTGAACGTTTACGGCGTCTGACGTCACACGCCGCGACCGTGGAGGAAGGAGGAAGATGACGATGACGACTCGTTTTTTTAGTCAGGCGGAACCTCAGCATAATATGTTTAATGTTCAAAACAGTAGACAACTGTCAATTTTGTTTTGTTTTGTTTTTTTTCGTCTGTATTTTAGTCGGGGCGTTTTCGGGTGTAGTGGACATTTTTAAAAGGCGCGCCCGTATGTGGTGTCTGTCTCTAGGCAACCATGACAGCACTACACGCATGCGCAGACACGCAGAGGAGCGTTAGTGAGTGACAGCCGTGTGTATTTGACATTTACAAGGAAATACGGAACAAATCACGTCCCTTATTAACGTTTATTCGTTAAAGAAAAGACGATTTTAAGGGACGGATAAAAACCCGAATAGATAATGTATTTTTTTTATATCAAAATGAATTTGGACTCAGCTAAATTGAGTTAAATGCCCCCAAATAGCTGAACATTACAAATAAACCAGGATAAAATTCATTGTAGGTATAGATACATGGTCAGCTCAAAAATAGCTAATAAAAGAGGCTAACAAAAAGTAACATCAATGTTTCCAATAAGTTCCTAAAATCTTGTCAGAAGATAACTACTGTGTTAGCAAAGATGGTGCTAAGAGTTTAGGAGATGACAGCTTGAAAACTGTACAAACAACTGGTAAAAAAAAAATATATAAATATATATAAACAGCTCAGAAGAGCCTAATGTTAGCTACAACTAGCAGCTACGCCCAGAAAGAAAACTCTACCTTGACATAGTTAAATTATTTTACTATTATAACCTTCCAGAAAGAAAACTCTACCTTGACATAGTCAAATAGTGAAAATTTGTCAAAACCTTTAGGGAACTTTAATTCTCTGGTTGTAAAAAATAAACATGATATTTTTAATTACAATTTTTTTTTTTTACAAACAAATGTTTGGAAATAGGGAAAACAAAACCACAGAAACAATGTTGAGGAGCAGCTGTGGGGAATCTGCCCTTGTGTTTTCTCTGCTCTTCACTGCTGTACGTCTGTGACTGGTGACGAGTGGGCGAAATGCTGTAACATAATTAAAACTACATTGCTTTGTGGGTGTGGGTGTGTGTGTCAGACAGAGAGAGACACACACAGAGAGAGAGAGAGAGAGAGAGAGAGAGAGAGAGAGACTGCACTGTAGGACACAACCACTGAGACTCCTGTTACCATAGGAACAGGCTGTGGAATCTCATGTTGTTATTAAATAGTCGGCTTTTTCCAAAGAGCTGCCACACGTCTTCCCCAAGGTTACATCAGCAATTTTAACGTGTCAAAAAAGAAGCTGCAGAAAAGCCCCCGGTGACAGCAGCGGAGACGTCACGTCACACCGTAGAACCGCTGTGAAGTCCAAGTCAACAGGAAGTACTTAAAGAGTTCCATGATTTATATGCGAGTTGGGTGTCTTTTGGTCTATAATGTCAGTCAGTAGTTCCTCGATGATTCCACTGTTTCAGTCAGAGCTCCACGTCTTCTTCAAGACAACAGAAAGACTCATGAGACACGGAGGCAGAGTGGTTACCATCCTTCACTCTAACCATGAGTGTGAATGTACGTGTCTCTTTATGGGGCCCTGTGAGGGGCTGGGGAACTGTCTGGACCAATGGTTCTCAAACTGGGGTTACCAGCACAACTAGTGGTACTGTAGCTCCTTCTTATGGCAGGTGAAGGCACCTGATCCCTACTAGAATTAGGTTCCTCAATTGGGAATTTATATGTAAGTAAAGGGCTCCTTCACTGTACAGTGTAGTAGGCTAATAATCTAATTAGGATTAGGTCTAATTAGATGATCTACAGTGCGGAAAGATTAAGAACAGCTGGTCTAAAGTTGATTCTTATTCATGAAATTAGTCACAATAACATTTTAAACATATATATATACAGTATACATATATAGTTTGTTATATATAAACTAAAGGACTAGAGTCATGTTTAAATATACAAACCAAAACCCTTTCTGAAACCAGCTCGACTGGTGTTCCTCAGTCTTCAAACCCACCTGTGATGGAGGTGGTTCCATCCAGTTCTTATACAGGGTCTATGATTCACACTGAGCTGGATAAACCTGACAACAACTGGCTGCAGATTTCTGAGCTGTCACTGCAGGAGAAATGTGTGAAAGGGAGCGAGCGGCAAACACAGAGAGGGAGGAAGATGACAATGTGACTCATCCCACGTGGGCTCACCAATCACTGAAGAACACTCACAGTTGTTCACAGCCCAGATGGAGATGATGTGACGCATTTGCAGATGAGGTTGTTCCAGGTACAGCTCAGATGCAGAGATTCAGAGGCGGCATGTGAAGAAATGCCCCGAACGTATTCCGGTATTTTTGTTTCACATCTTCATTTATTATTGAAGGCAGAAGCAGAAGTGTTTTAGCCTCAGATGTCGTCGCAACTCATCTGAAACTCACTGGAGAGAAACAACATTTCACGAGAAAAACTCAAGATATTAAAAAAAACCAGAGCAGGTGATGTTTTGTTCTACACATTTAATTTTTTTTTTTTTAAAGTTACAGCTCTTTCAGATTTTTGGTCAATCTTTGGTACAAATTGTGCACATCGTTGCTAATTTTATGATATTTTGTTGCAGTTAGAGGCATTTTTGGACATTTTAAATGTTTTCTTATAAAAGTCATAGTAATCTTTCATAGTATGTCACTCTGCGTCAATTTTTCCACAAAACAAGTTTTTGGTATTTTTGGTACAGATGTTGTACAGATTATGTTAATGCATTTTTGGACATATATTTTTGGATTTATGGACTAACTAAAATATATTTTAAAAAAAACAATATTTTGTGCAATAGAATATTTTTTGCATTTTACTGGAAATAAACTAAAATTATAATTAAAATGAAGAATGAATGAATGATCGGTTGAAGCTGGTTTGACGGCCACGGGGTTGAACAACAACAAATGTGGATTTTATTTAAATGCGTCTTTTTATTAGTGTACGTGGTCTTCTGTAAATCGACAAAGAAAAACAACTGACAAGTGTTGAACTCTACAGCAGTTCGCAGTACTGCGCAGTAAGTTTGCACAGTACTGTGTATGAACAGATTCTCAGAGTAATTACCAACTGGATCAACTGACGATGACAATCAACCACAGTAACGTGTTACACTTTAAGGCAATTAGATCATAAGGTTTGTTGAAAGGGTTAACGGTTACAGAAACATGGTGGACTAAAGATAAGACACGTGGACATACAGTGGTACATGAACAACAATAGTGAGAGAGAAAGCCTTAAAAACACCACATCACGTGACAACAGGTCGGTGTAGACAAATAACAGCAGTAAATCCACTCTTCACACACACACACTCACACACACACACACACTCAGTGTGACACAGCCCTTGATGGAGAAAACCAGGTGTATTTAAACGCAGCAGAGCTGAGACTCAGACGGCTGCGTCGTCGTGTCAGTGCAGGTGTGTGTCGTCTGATGTGAAGTACATGGGGTTTTTTTTTTTTTTTTACCTTCCCAGACTCAGAGCTCTGCAGACACGACTTCAGCTACTTTTTCTCCTTCCACAGGCAGTGCATCAAAACATTCAGTTTGGGATTTCTAAAAAAATAAATAAATAAAATTTCAGGGCAGCTACTGCAGTTGATGTACTTTATGTCAAACATTCAAGTTCTTCTACAATAAAAAAATTGATGTAAATCCAGGTTTTAATCGAGGGATACTACTGGTACTTGAACACAGCTGCAGTGCTGTGTGTTTCTTTACTTTGGGTCGTCCTCATTTAAATATGTGCAGTATTTTAACATCAAGGACAAAGACAGGAGCGAGATTTACCGTAGGATTTGTCCTACGGTAAATCGAGCGGTTAAAAACCCCCAGCTCTCAATACGCTAACGCAGTGTTTCCCAAACTTTTTTTCTGGGGACCCATATTTTAAAAGTCACAAACATTCACGACCCAAGTCAATAGACATTATTCATAAACTCCTGGGAAACATGATGCGAGACGACCCCCCAAAAAAAATCTCTTGCGTCCCACCTGAGGGTTGCGACCCTGTCTTTGGGAAACAACTCGCTGACTCGTGGGATGAGTCAACTCGCTTCCAATGGAATATGGCACGCTGATCATAAGTGTACCACTGCTGTTAATGCTTGAATAATAACAAGCCTCCAGTCACTAGGTGGCAGCAACTCATACAGTGGTTTGTACAGATAAAAATATACATGTTATCAGGTTCTCAATGGTATTTCAATTTGTGGGGGTGTGGGTCGTCAAAAGAAGATTGCTGATAAAAATGAAACCTGTCGACTCTGTGTTGTTGAACGTTGTCAATAAAACTGGAGGGAGGGACAGCAGAACAGATGATCTGGTAAAGTCGACTAATAATAATAATAATAATAAAAAACGTCTTCATTTATGACACACTCGTCTGGTTTTCTCTCACTTCAACTTCTCACGGCTGTGAAACGTGATTGTTGGTAAGAGTCTGGTTTTCAGTCAGAGGGAAACTAAAACCTGTGTTTTTAGATTTTGTCTCTAATTTGGCAGAAAATATAAAATAAAGACGCAGCAGCAGCAGCAGCAGCAGCAGCAGCAGTAAACCGTCTCCTCTCAGATGTCCCACTCTGTGCCCTGCGTGTCCTCGTCTTCCTCGTCGGAGTCTGCGGACACCTTCTTCATCCTCATCATGGCGGCTTTGATGCTTCGTTCCAGCTCGTTGTCTCCACTGCTCTGGCTCTCAGGTGGACCGGGAACCACCTAAAGAATATTTTTAAAAAATATATAAGTATGCAATAACTAGCTCAAGGACAAGTAGACTTTAAGCTGAATATTAGTTGAATTAGAGTTTTATAAATCTTTTTTGCATACATGCTTTAAAAATTGGCGTCCAAAAAATGTCTAAATTTGAGTGTGCTGAGTTTTTAGAAGCTCGTAAAATGTACAAGAAAAATTACAGGAAGGAAAATACTTCACGAGAAAATAAAATTATGTTCTCTGCTTTATCTCAACCTGATTTAAACATAAAGTTCATCTGGAGAGAAAGTTCAAGCAATAGTTTAACCATCTGCTTGAAGAAGGTTGCGTGTTCGACACCCTCGTGCCTCACCTTCTTCAGAATGACGCCCTGTCGAATGGCAGACATCAGGTTGCTTCTTGCATCCTCAGCAGGTGGCGCTGTCTTGTGAGTGGGGGCCTTTCGTAGCTGGAGCTGTCCTCTCTGCAGTGAAGCCAGCACTTCATCCATTGTTCCTGGAGAAAACAGTTCAAGGACAGAACTGATGGCTCCACAGATGACATTTAAATTTTCACTTCACTTCGGCTTTTAAAGAGACAGGGGACAGGGGACAGGGGACAGGAGGTGAACGCCTCGTGTGGTCTAAACATGACAGAAATGTTTAAAAAAAAAAAATTCTCTCACCTATGTTCTGTTTGAGCGTGTTCCTGGCTGGAAAAGGAGTCTCCTGTTTGTCACTCAGAGCCTTGGGTGTGTCCTCAGAGGAGTCGAGGACAGGAGGGAGCAGCAGCGGTGGTGGTGGTGGTGGAGGAGGAGGAGGAGGAAGAGGCGGTGGTGGAGGAGGAGGAGGAGGCGCAGTGGGAGCAGCACAGAAGATCTGAACGGTGACATCTTTAACCCGAGGTTTCTTGGGTGTTTTTTTGCGTCTGGGTTCAGAACAGACAGACAGAGGAGGGACGTCCAGCCCGGACAGAGACGGTCCCAGGCTGATGATGGACAGTGGCTGTGACGAGTCGGGGACTTCTGATGGTGACGACCACGAACAAGGAGCTTTAAGGTTGTACTGACCCTGACGTTTCTATGACAACGACCAAGAAGGAACAACAACAGAACATCAGTGATCAAAGACGTTGTTACGTTTACAAATATAAACTGATTATTTATCACCGGGGAAGGTTTGAAGAAAAGACAACAGCCGGCGTCCTGTCAGATCAGAATGCACCATCAGAATAGTGTACAGGTCACTCAAAATGACAGTCATCGGCTGATTATATGCTATCATAAAAATATGTGCGCTCATAACGTGGGAGGATATTAACTATGGATTGTCATACTTTTATTAAATACACAGAAATGCTAAATTGCGTGCATGTGCGCAGCAGGTAGTGCCTACTATTCTGATGGCGTATCCTGATCTGTCAGGACACCATGACTGAGAAACATAAAATAACTTGAATTAATTTAATTAAAATTACATTTTTCAAGCTTTTTTCCAATCGTTGAAATTTCTAAAAAAAAAACAAAAAAAACAACAAGCATTTCTTTTTAGCATTTTGATGAAGAATCCCATCGCCATGGAAACCCTCACCTGTCTGAAAGATCTTAATCTGTTCAGAGTCCTCTCTCGCTCCTGGTCCACCCACTCCTTTCTCCTCTGATCCTCTTCTTTCTTTTGCTCCCGTTTCTACAGACAACAAACGGAGGTCAGAATCATGGCGAGGACAACTGGACTCAGGTTTGTTGCTGTGACGTACCAGGTGAACCTGATGGTGTTGGGTGTAGACGTCAGTCATCTGCTTGGCTGCCTGTGTCTTCTGCTCTCTTGCTTCCATGCACTGATCCTGCAGACACACACACATATGGTCAATAATTGACCAATAATCTGTGTGATGATATTTTAATGGTCCATCAGTGCAAAATTTAGCCGATTTCTCATTCTGCTCCAGAAATGTATTTTTAAAATCCTTTGGTTTCTTAAGCGACTCGTTCTAAAATGTCCTTGTACAAATTCTTAAGAAAACCTCAGACACCGGGGGGCAGGAGAGTGAACAGAGTGAAGAAAACTGTTTTTTCTCAATTGGTCGTCTGCTCCATAAATACATTAAAATAACGTCTCTGCCACTGAAAATATTCCAAACAAAACAAAAAAACAATTATCAAATGAAAATTAAGTCAGCTAAAAATATATAGTATTTAAAGAAAAATATGTAATTACTAGCCAGAAAAGCTAAATGTTAGACAAAAATATTCAAGGAGGATCTCAAGACTCAGAGAGGTTAGGATTATCTTAGCCAAATCTTGGTCAAATTAAGCCCAGAAAAATCTCGTTAGCCAGTAATATCGTAGACCTAGCTTTGTGTTAGCCAGAAAAGCTAATTTACATGAGACTGTTTTGAGGTTCGTTCTGGCCCACACCTTTTTGCTGCGTAGATAAGCTCTTCGAGCACAGATGGCGCCTCTCTTAGCTTCTAAGGAGTGCAGGTGTCTTCTGTGCTGATGGACGGCTGCAGAGTCTCCGTGCTGCGGGCCTGTGTGGACCATGCTCTGCAGCTCCTCCTGGTCTTCACAAACATCATAGTAGACCACCTCCTCCTTCAGTTCTGGAACACAAACAAGGGTCCGGCCACTCACTACACAAGAAGATCCTACAGTTCAAAGTATTAGATAATTCATCTAAACCGGGCAGATCCAAAGTCTGGCCCGTGGGCCAATTGCAGACCATGTTCAAATTTCCACCGGCCCCCAGCCTCTGTCATAAACATCAATACTATACGAACTAGCAGCACTGTTGTATAAAACACAGTTATATATAAAATACAACACAGTTGTACAAAATAAGCTTTTTTGTAATTCACCACAAGATGGCAGCAGACCTGTGGCCGCGCTCTAGCCACCAAACCTGTCATTTTATGTGCTCTCCAAGGATGAAAGCTCCAGTGACTTTAGTAAAAACGTGTTGATGTTTATTTTTGTTCAGTGTCAAGAAATTTACAAAACATTTGATTTGCGTTGATAATTTCATTAAATTGTTCATTTGCATTTAATGTCAATGGTTGAAAGAAGATCAGTCTGAATGGTCGGCCCACACACACACACTTAGTGTCATTTGGTGCTATGGTTGAAAGAAGATCAGTCTGAATGGTTGGCCCACACACACTTAGTGTCATTTGGTGCTGTAGTACCACCTCCCACTGACAAAAAATGTCTGTCTGTTTTGGTTGGTTGGTTGTTAATCCTGACACGTGTTGCCAAACACACACACACACACAATTAAACACACACACACACATTCTACCTCCCAGGAGGAGCAATTAGGGAAATATTTACCTGCTTAAAGAGTTCCTCAGAGAAAAGCCCATTCACAACAGACCAAACAGACAGACTGACTGACTGACTGACTGACAGACTGACTGACTGACTGACTGCAGTCTAATCCAATCAGATGCGGCTCAGATATGTGAAATTTTTTTTCACCATTGGGCCGTGTCAGTGTTTGTGCATTCAGAACAAAAGTGACACGTGTGGTTGCAGCCTCAGGCGTGTCCTACACAGTACTGCAGTACTGTGTACTACTGTTACCTTTAATCTGTCGTCGCACCGTCTCTATCTGAGCCACCAGCAGCTGCTCCTCATTCTTTAAAATGTCAAACTTGGTGTCGTACAGTTCCAGCTGGGTTTCGTAGAACTGCAGCTCCAACTGGTCCACGCTGGTCATGTGTTCCTGGTCTTGCGTCTGGTTCTGGACTCCGGACAGGCCTCTGAGCTGCAGCACAACAAGAACAATCTGAGTCAGACCCTGGGGGCCTTCTTATAAATTGACAGTACTGTATGGTTTTAATATACCTAAATATACTAAATGTACTCTTCCTAATTAATATTACACACGCTGATTTTTTTTAATATTACGTATATTCTTGAGTACAAGTCAAAATTTTTTAAAGTAGCTTTCTGGATTCTCGACTTATATTCCAAAGTGTCTTATATCAAAAATGCTATCCACATCATCTATGGCCACCGGAGGGCACTGTTTACAATTGTCAAAATAAAAATGCCGCTACGGCACCACCAATAAAAAAAAAGTCATTTAAGGGCAGTGGTGGCTTAGTGGTTAAGGAAGCGGACTTGGGTTCAAGTTCGAGTCCACCAGCTGCCAAGTTACCACTGAGGTGCTCTGAGCAAGGCACCGTCCCCACACACTGCTCCCGGGCACTGACTTTGGTGATGGGTTAAAAGCAGAGGTTGTGTGCAGTGGAGTGCAGTGCAGTGTGTGCTGTGTCACAATGACAAGTAGTTCACTTTCACTTTCCTTAATTACTGCTTTCTAAAAGAAGGGAAAAGATGCTAACTGTGAGTCTGACGCTCCTGTGGAGGAGCCGGAGCTTCAACTTCTGAAGTTGGTGGAATTTGTTAAAGCAACACAGAAAATGAAAGATTTCAGTGGTGCTAAAAAAAAAAAAAGAAAAAAAAATCTTTCAACAATCTTTTCTCAAATTCTCTGCAAATGTTGAATGAGGTCTGAACTGTTAGTGATGAGCAACGGTTTTGAAGTAATTAGATTAGAATTAAATTAAGTTTGTTAGATTCAGACACAGAAACAGAAGGAAAAAAAGAATAATTTGATATTCTGCAGCCGTAGCACCAGACTCAGCAGAGAGTGAAGCTGCTGCAGGAAGGTGAGTAGGTGTGAGTTCACAGATCTCATCATCAAACCTCCTGCTGCTGCCTCTGTGCTGCTCTGGGTTTATTTCACTGCTGCCAGGACCCTGTTTTTTTGTTCTTTAAAGCATAATTGGATGAAAAACGCAGTCATGCCGAGACATTTAAAAGAACTTTCTCTCCTCTCTTCTCTGAATAAGTCAAATTGTCACAGTGCAGCGCCTGTCAGTTTTACAAAAACACTGTGATCCATTAAAAATAATTATGTTCCTGTGTTTGCAGATGACTGCGTGCTTCAAGTTCTCAGTATAAAATTTTCACAGAGTTATTAAACCGGTTTAGTTTCTGCAGGATCACGGGCATTTTCTGTCTTATATTTAGGTGATGGGACCACAGCTACTGTAGCTAAAAGACCCAGCAGAGCTAATAGGCAGCCTGCCACATCCAAGAACAGAACGAGGCGTAAGTCACGACACAGTGTTAGCTACAGCAGAGGCCAACAACACAATGTGGGATTTCCTATAAACGGATCGCACGCAAACCTTCTCTCTGATACGGCCTTTCTTTCGGTTGAGACACATCTCTGCTGCTCTCATGTGCTGCAGTGTTTCTTTGGCCAGCAGGAAGCGGAGTTTCTCCAGTCGAGGAACTGCAGCCTTCCAGGCGGCCGCACCGAAGCGGCACCGATCCACCTCCATTTGTTTCAACATACCTGGAACAGGAACGCAGAGAGAAAATAGAAATTCACTCTAAGAAAGAGAGCATTTTTACATTTATAATACATTTAGTATATATATATTTAGTATATATGTAGTATTCACAATCAATATTGACCCTGTGTTTTACTTCTGATCAGTAGCCTGGGCACCTCAACACAAATGATGGACAAGCAGCCCAAAAGCCCCAACTCATGTTTTACTACTGAGTAGTCCAGTAACTTTATACTGAGAGTCCAGTCTAGTATTTGTTTTTCAAAGTTGCTTTTTCCTGTTGGGGGCGCAAGAGTGCTTCGGGAGAGATACAAAATAAGTAATGAGAAAATTTGATTTATATTTTCTCTCATTTGAAATTCAAATTTCAACTCTTATAATGGCCATTTGCATCTGTTGGTGTTTATGCACGTGTGTAAATGTAAATGAGGGGTGTGTGTATGTGAGTCAGAGAAGGGCGGGGTGGGGGGCAGTTGTAGACTTGCTCCTTGAATGGAGGCCAACACCGTCAGACTTTGTAAACCCTGTCTGAGCAGAGACTTTAACCCGTCTTTGTTGTCTATTGTCTGTAGGACTTAAACGACTGACAGTGAACTTACACTTCATTTAACTGGACGTAAACACGCAGCGTGTACCTGCTAGAGCCTTTGAAGTCTGTGCAAAGTAGGTGACGGTGATGTCCTGAATGGAAGCGACCGCATCTTCAGCTTTCCTCCTCCACTCCTCCGCCTCCTTCTCCAGGACAGCTATTCTCTTTGGACCCAGGTCTTCAAACTCCAAAGACTTCTGCAGAGAACCAAAGACCAAAGAGACCAGATTATGTTGTGATGAATCAACTATAGACCTGCCAGGCAGAATGTTCCATAGTTCAGGTTAAGGAAGGATTCTGGTTCCATTATTGGTGCCACTTATCAATTCTCTTATTGACAACAAATAACATGCAAGAACGACATGAGGGAATCTACGTATAATTTGCAAATCATACTTAAGAAAGTATGCTGTCTCTCGATACTCTGAGATGACAAATGTCTTGTCGAGCAGCCACTTGGTGCTTCACACAGACTTCGATCTGATCTGAAAAGTTGGTTTAAACCAGCAGTAGGGTTGTGCTGCGCTACCACTGAGGTGTGCGTTTTTCTGCTTATCTTCTGGGTGTGTCTTTTCTAAGAGGAGAGTTCACTGACAGAGGAGACTTGGCCTGGTCTGTCATATGGAAATCTGAGAGTTCCTCAAATCTTTTTATCAGAACCCACCTCTGTTCCCTCTCTTCCCTTTCACCCTCACCAACTACAGCCAATTACCAGGTCGCACACATTCCTGTCTTATGAAAGATGATGTGTGTTGTCATTGAAGGTTCAAAGACGGACGGGGTGGGTATGGAGGGGTGGGGGGTTTGGGGGAGGTAGGTTACTGGAAAGTAAAAAGACACTTTCGAGAATTTTCACTTGAGCCCTCACATGAAAGCCCTTTTTCTGCTCAAAGTCAAGGCTATGGGAGACGGGTCGTGTTTAGGAAGACTTTGATGGTGATGGACGGAGAGAATGAGAAGTGAAGAAGAAAGGAATGAGGGGGAGATGGGAGGGGGCTTGAGGGAGGAGGACGGCCGATCGACAGGGTCTAGGTAATTAACAGCAAGCTCTTTAATTAATGCTGGTGTTCATTGTGCCAGAAGGAATGCGACAATTATGCCATTAGAACTTCCTAATGGGGAGAGAAGTGAGGAGGCGGGGTGGTTAACGGAAGACATGCAAAAGAGAAGGATGAAAGAGTGAAAGAACTGAAGGAAGAGAGAAAGAAGGAGGGAGTGTGAGAGGGAAGGGACACAAAATGGAAAAGGGAAAACAATCGCCACAAAAGAGGAGCTGCGAGGCAGACGGGGAGCGTATTAGTCCAGAACAGTGACAGAGCAGATTAGCATCAAACAAGAAAGGCCATAGATATATGTGTGTGTGTGTGTGTGTTTCATCAGGGATACAGAGGACATATTCATTCCAAAGACGCCACCAAGGTGGATGGAACTTTGATGATGCAGAAACTGGCAAAGAGAAAACCTACTGTGTCTCTACAGTGTGAGTGTGTATGTGTCTGAAAGTAAGTGTGTGTTCTATGTGTGTGTGCTTTGCTGAATCTGCGTAGGCTCCTGTTTCAAGTGTCAGTGCAGGTAGGCAGAGGAGGAAGTGGAAGAGATGGAGGAGGAGGAGGAGGAGGTGGAAGAATAGGTGGAGGAGAAAAGGGGAGAGATCCACAGAGAAGAGCCTTGGGGCCATCCTGATACACATTCAGTACTTTCCATCACTGCATTACGTCTATGACTCACACACACACACACACACACACACACTCGCTCTCTCTCTCTTTCTCTCACACACACACCTAAAACAACAATTTTGCCCATGTACATATTTAATACACATCGTACCCACACAAACATCAAACAGCAACAAAATACACAACCCACGCACGCACACTCACAAACACACATGACACACACGTTAACACAAAAACAGAGTCTTCCTGCTCACTAAGGCAGTTGGTTTGTTGGGGGGGGGTTAAATTTGCATGGCTGGGCAAATTTTCCTTGTGTTAAACTCTAATCAGCTTCTCTATCTCTCAGACACCTGCCCAGCAAAAAACAAAACAAAACAAAAAAACATATTTACAGTAAATTTAATTTTTAAAGAATTAAACTACCCACCTTTACCTGTCAACATCACAATTGATCAATAAATTATTTTTATCCTCAAATCCAGATCAAATGTATTTGTTGTTAAAGAGATATTGTTTCTGAAATGTCTCAGGAAGTGTCAGAACATTCTAGAATTACTAATATGACTCTGATCAAATTTTAAACAACAAAGCTTTGACAAGTATTTACCATGAAATAATCGAATATTAAAATGTAATTTACCGACAGTTTATACATTAGTCCATTAGTTCAATAAAATAATATTTGTTTATTTGTCAAAAACGTTTGAAGAATGAAGTAAGAATTTTCAAGCAGCACGCAAACGCATCCTTTGTTAACTTTAACCTTTAAAATCACATGCTCGGGAATTTCCAACTCCTGATCTTAAAGAAAACTTGCTAAAATTGTAGAAAAGCTAAAAGTATTTTTGTAAACTTTGCAAATAAATCTCAAATATTTACTTTTAATGTCCGTATATTTTACTGGGTAAATAACTACCTGAATGTTTGGCATGCCTGTGACACATGAGTGTTCTGAGGTTGGTCTATTTCTGTCTCAGCTCCAGGATGAAGCTCCAACTGCTCACTCGGTTGTTTAGGCTGTGGGACAGAAACATTGGGCTTCACGTGATTGTATAGAAGACACTGAATTACAGCTTAATTCAGGTGAATAAGCTGTGAGCTGCTCAGCTTATATTTCTAATTAAATGCTAAATACTAGCTACCTACCCAGAGAAGACAGTCTGTTTTCATCAGATAACAAACTGTCTTTTCCCGGCAGGAAAACCAAAGCTGTACTTCCACAGAGCTCCACATGGCCATGTATGAGGTGAGTGGAGGCCGACTGGACGTGATCTCGGAAGAAGCCGAACACCAGGACTCACCCACCACCACCATGGATCACCACACCGTGGCTCCTGAAGGACGAGGCCGAGGAGTCTCCCTCCAGAGATTCTCTGTCGACACCAACGAGTCTCTGAGATTTGAACCCTATCAGGGCAGCACACCTTCTCCCACCGGGGCAGATGATGGGCTGGATGAAGATGATGATGACGTGTTTAAGGAGGGAGAAACCCAGGTAGGAGTCACGACTACAGTTTGTATAGAGACAAAAATAAAGCTCTCCTAAAATTATTTTTCAACTACTCAGCATCAGTAGGACCTGAATTAATCATATCATTTATATCTTAAACACTTAAAAAAGAAGTCATAAACATGGGGTTTGTGACCCGTAAGAGGTCCAAAAAAATACTGCAGGAGGGTCATAACATTTTCGATTGATAAGTCTTTTTTGTTACTCACTGCCCAGGTTGGATAATGCTTTGCCAGAGGCTTAAAACAAATGAATGTAACCTAATTTAATTTAACAGAGAGCTGGTTTTATTTTTTCCCCCAGAGAGCCATCCACTCAACCAGACACCAGCTGCAGGAGAAGGTTGCAGAGATGGAGAACTTTGCAGGTCATCTGGAGGAAATCTTTCTGACTGTGGAGGTGAACACCAGTCTAACCAGTGTTTTGTTATTATTTTTATGTGTAAAACTACATAAGCATTAGGGAATGATTATTTTACAGATTCTGTCTCTAACAAGTGATTGGTACATATAGAGCTAGTGTTAGCAAAGAACAAAAGTAAAGGTTGGATCATAAGTTTTTGAAGTAGAATAAAGTAATAAAAAAAATTTAAAAATTGACTCAAGGTAATTTAAGTTTAGCCGATAAAAATCTAATGTTAAAAAACAAATAAAACAAAACTCCTCAGCTAATTCATACCTTATGTTACTTTAGCTGCAATATTATAATAAATGGACTGCTTTAAATGTTGTAAAACTCATATACAGTAAGTACCATGACTGGTCCTCAGGCCAGACTTTGGACCTGGTTTTCTGAGACCAGACTGTTTGTTAAACTCTGTGGCTCATTACCTGGATGTCAGTAGTACTGCAGTACAATTAAGAAGTCCTTTCCAAATATCTGAACCTGTACTGCGCTGCGTGTCCTCGTGCAGGAGAACTTCGGGCGTCAGGAGCAGCACCTGGAGCAGCATTACAACGATGTCCTGCAGACTCTGTCTCAGCGGTACGACGAGAGAGCGGCAGCTCTGGAGGAGGAGAAGAAGAACAAGCTGGAGGCGCTGTACCAGCAGCTGCTGGCCTGCGGTCGGGCCCTGGACGCCTCCAAGGAACTCATCGAGTCGGCCCAGGAGATCTACCGCTGCCAGGACAAGAGGCTGTTTCTCAAGGTTTCTGGACTTTTATATCAAGCTCAATCATCCATTCACACTCACATTCACACCTACGGTCAAATAAGAGTGAAAAATGATCCTGTCTGTTTTTGGACAGTGGGAGGAAACCCACGTGGAGTGAACATACAAACTCCATACAGAAAGGCTCATCAGTTAGATCCAGTCTCTAACTGCTGCTCACATGAGCAACTTAAGTGGGACAACGTGCTGCTCGAGTGGTTGGTGCTGCTGCCTTACAGCAAGAACATCAGTGGTTTGATCCCCAACGGTAACTGAAGGTCTTTCTGTAGTGTGCCTCTAAGAGTACTTGACTACAAAACCATGTAATGTTAGTGTTGGTGTTAATGTTCACTCTAAATTGACCATAGGTGTGAATGAGAGTGTGAATGCTCGTTTGTGACAGGTCAAATCCTGTTCATTATCCAGTTTATTATCAATCTAAGAAGGTTGAGTATTTCTTTGTTCACAGGGGGTGATGGCCACCATAAAAAGGTAAATTCAGGTGCTGCCTGGTGAGTATCCCACTGTCTGGAACTCCAGTCCAGTCCAGTGTGGTTTGGATAGGTTAGCTTCATCACTAACGGTGATGGTGAACCACATGTGTTCTGAGAACTGTTGCTGTGTTTGTTCTTCGCTAGAATTGAAGAGTTCTCCAAAGAGGAGCCTGACCTCACATTGTCCACAAGTTTGGAGTTCAACACTTCACCTGCTGACCTGTCAGACGTGAAGACCATGATGGACTCCATCAACGTTGTCCCAGGTCAGAGTCCCAGTGGTCACACCAACAGAGTGGTCAGAGTCCCAGTGGTCACACCAACAGGAAGTCAGAGAAAATATTTGCAGTACTGAGTGTAATCAACAAGAGTTGAAAACACACCTGTGGTCATTGGAAATTATCACTGTGTAGAAGAGTGGTTCCCAAAGTGGGGGGCGGGCTCCCCTAGGGGACAATGAGCTATTAATTTAATCTTGTATATTTTCTTTTTTTCAGTGCTACTGTGAAGAATCTGCACTGATTTGTCTTTTTTTTGTCCTTTTAGGTTTGTTTATTAACAGTGTTTTAAATACAGTTCGGTGAAGTTTGGAAGCAAAAGCTATGATTGTTTTCTTACCTTATCGTAACAAATATTCAAATGACCTTTGACCTTGTGAAACAGCTGTGTCAGTTTTGTAATCCTCTAACTTTCACAGCTCCGTCTGCTCCAGTCATCAACCCTCAGATCCCAAACTCTGCCTCTCAGACATCGCTGCGTGTTTGCTGGAGCCTGTTCTCTGACGACACCGTGGAGTATTACGAGCTTTACTACGGACCGGTGCTGGAAGACACACCAGCAGAGGGCAACTCCTCACCTCAGGGTACGAGGAGAGCATGTTGACGATGAGAAAGATCAACTCACAATTTACTCACTCAGTGTAAAGCCTGTGCCTGTTTAGTTGAACACAACACTGATGTACTCACAGGAATTGAAGAAAAAAACAACAGTTATTTTCTGCCTTAAATTTGAGTATTTCATTCTCTTTTTTGATTCTATTGTCTTGCTCGACTTTATGGACGTGTGGTGATGTATGGACGTACGTTTTCCATCTGTGCTGCCTCTGCAGTGAGTAAAGTCAAAGTGAAGGAGACCCACATCACAGTGACGGAGCTGCAGCCCAACGCTCAGTACGAGCTGTGGGTGACCGCCACCAACACCACGGGCATCAGTCCAGCCAGTGAGAAGGCTCTGTACATGACAGGTTAGATCCACCGCTGCTCTCAGATCAGTTATTCAGCGCTGCTGTCAGAATAACTCTTTTGTGCTACTCGGCTGCTGTCAGAATAACTCTTTTGTGCTTTTTTGCCAACTTCTTACTCATGAAGAAGCTAACTATTAGCATTATTTTTTCTTTGACTACATTTTTAATTTTTCTATTTTTTGTTACTTTTGTGACTTTTTATGGGCTATGTTTTTAGGTTGAAATGACTTTCCTAAATGCACTGGCCTTAAATGATTGATCGTCTCGTTCTAGTGCCGTCGCCTCCGGTGGTCAAACATCGGGAGTGCAGCAGCTGTCCCGAGGCGGCCATGATCCGCTGGGAGTCCGGAAACACCAACCCCGTGGACTCCTACACCGTGGAGCTGAGTGAGATCGGTACTGATGGCACAGAGGGCGCTGTCACAGAGTAAGAACTGTTTCAACCACGCAGAACAAATACAGCTGGAAGCACATACAAAGAAATAAACCACAAGGGGTCGCCATACACGTTGGTGTAAAAGTTTGTTTTTGCCTTCAGTCGTCATCTTTGTCTGATCACCTTCGTGTCTCCGCCTCCAGGTCAGTCGTGGGCGTGCCCACCTGTCACTGTCTGATTCAGCTGCAGAGTGGACGACGTTACGTCATAGCTGTCAGGGCCGTCAATGTCGGCGGCCCGAGTGACAGGAGTGACGTTATTACCGTCAAAACGACAGGTGGGCGGAGTCATGGTTCAAGGACTGAAATCCAATTCAGTTCAAATGTTTCTTTTTTTCAGTTTTGTGAAAAAAGTAAAGTTAATAAAAATATATTTTTGTATATATATTTGTTAGTGTGTGTTAGGGCTATCGAATATTGAAGTGAAAATCACGTTTGTGAATTTGTATCCGATCACGTTTTAACACATTTCTACGCGTGTGTAGTCTGGAGTGCACTGTATATTCAGTAATTCCACCGTCCATTTATGTACACCTGTAGATTTGACGGTTTTTGAAAAATTTAAATACTAAAATTAAAAAAAAGTCATCCGTATACAGTATATTTTTTCACATTTGACCTTTTCTTCTTTTTGTGTTATTCTTCATATTTAGTACAAAACAAAATGTTGACGCAGTTGTTCACCCCCACCCTCTGCAGGGACCTTCTTCCATCTCCTGGAGGACACGGCCCACCCCTGCCTCTCCATCTCCGAGGACGGCTTCACCATATTCTATGGAGACGAGGAGCTGCCCATCAGTGCCATGGCCTCGGACGACAACACCTTCACCAGGTGGTGTTTCCTGAGAATGACTCCTCCTGTAGAATGAATAAGTATCCCAGGATTGTCTTCTGTGAGCGTGAGAACACTTCTGGCTTTGTGTGTCTGCAGATGCGTGGCCGTTCTCGGAGATCTGATCCCGGTCCGATGCAGACATTACTGGGAGGTGGAGGTGGATGATGGGACAGAGTTCAGGATCGGAGTGGCCTACGCCGACACAGAGAGGAACTCCTACCTGGGGGCCAACACCAGCTCTTGGTGCATGAGACACATTCTCAGCCCATCCAGGTATTAACACGCCGTAATTATTTGGTTCTCTACATAACTTTGATGGACTTTTCAATACATTTGATAAAATTTTGTTAATTTTTTTTTTTTGCGAAAAATTGTAGTTTCTTTCTGAGGTTTTTTTTATTGCATTGATAGAAAGAACAGAACTCACAAAGCTAAAGGAAGTAGTTTGTTTTGAATGAGCACTGCTGAAAAAAAACCCCAAAAAACTTTGACTAAAATTGTCATAGATTATAAATATAATTGCTTCTTTTCAACATGCCATTGTGACAGTAGATGATTTTATATTCAGGCTCTAATCATCTAAAAGTTTGTGAAAAAATGTCAAACTTTTTTCTTTTTAAGGCATAAATACGAGTTCCTGCACAACGGCTGGAGTCCTGACCTGAGGATCACAGTGAACCCTGTGAGGATCGGAGTGGCCCTGGACTACGAGAGGGAGACTCTGTCCTTCTTCAACGTGGATCTACAACAGCACCTCCACACCTTCTACTGCCACTTCCAAAGCTACGTGCATCCTTGTTTCAGCATGGACAACCCGGGCGTTCTGACTGTTCACAATGGCATCCAGGCTTCGGAGTACGTCTTCATGTGACACCCAGCCCGTCCGGTTTGACGAGGTCCCAAGGCCGTGAGTGAGGCCAAAATGACATGAAAGTATTTTTTAATGAAATAAAGTGATGTGATCCATTCTGTGATGTTTTTAGTCGTTTTTATTATCGTATTCCATGGGAACAGGCATACACCATTTTCCAAGATCAGAAAAAAGTGGAACTTTACAATTTGCACTGACAGCATAACTGCAGCAGACTAAGAGAATATGGTCCAAAATAAGGAGTATTTAATGGACTAGTAAAAAGAATAAAAACAAAAGGTCAACTCAAATAAAATCCATGTGATTTTTTTAAACTATAAAAACCTGCTGATGTTTGTGACGTTGTGAATTTGTCACCTACACTAAAAGAAAAGGCACAACAGTAATGGCAGTCTGTGTTCACATTTACTGTATAAATGAAGGAACTTTGTAGAATGCCCACCCTTAGCTACTAAGTGCTCACAACCTAGAGACCCCCCCAAAACAAAAGCAAAACCAAGACAAAAAACACTAGAAATAAAAAATAAAAAACCCAAAATATTTCTAACTTAGCTCCAAATTTGTCCTAGTATTTTTCTTTTTAAATTTATACATAAAAACAAATGACCCAAACACACAGTCAATTCAAAACCTTCTGTTCAACCTCAAAATGACTGTTGGTCTGATCTCATAGACTGTATATAAAGACTGGACGGAGGCGTGTCACTGTGAAGGTGAAGCCAAAGGAGAACAATTTGAATGCTCTGCTGTGTCAAAGTTTGAATATACAGTTCAGTGTGTGAAAAAGTGGTAAAGTATTAAAACCCATTTATTTGTATATTCAAAATATTTAGTCAAACAAGAAAATTTAAATTTAGATGATTGGTCAATGTCAACAAATGACAGCAGGATTGTCCACAACAACCCAATTACTGTCAGCATGGTACTGTTTGACAATCCTGCTGTCAATTACAACATATTTATCCACTAACTTTTCTCTTAACGTACGCATGAGATCGTGAATTCAAAATGGACCTCAGTTCAACCACACAAACATGAAACTGTTAAACATTGAGAACGCACTAGTTAGCACTTAATGGTTATAAAACAACCACAGGTTTTCTTCACTGTTCCACACCTGGTAGCCACCGTGGACTAAAGATCATCATCAACAGGGTCAAAAATGGTACTGTTACTGTTCTGTTTGGAACAGTTTCACAGGTTCTACTGTATGTCCCAGAACTTTTGTTCGGGTACTCCTTATCAAACAAGTATCTCTTCTTATGGCAAAGTACCCCTGCTGTAACCACAGCCTGCAGCAGTCGGTCCAGTCCTTATATACAGTCGATGATTCCATCTCATTATTCTGAGTGTATTTAGATTATTTTGGCTCAGATACATTTTTTAATCTTGACCGGTATGTCCTGGAGTGTCTCTGTCTCTAAGGGGTGGAGCCTGTTGGTCCACTTTCTCCATTGGCTAACACTATGGTATGTTAGCACACAGAGGAGGAGTTGTGTGTGTTTGTGCTGTTGTGGTGAACACCTAATTCTGCTCGGTGTGTTGAGGCTGTTTTCCATCAGTCTAGTTTACTAAAAACGTGGCAAAATAAAAAAGTTTTCTTCAGTTTCCCTTCTGTTGACAAGCTCATTGGAGCAGTTTGACAGTTTAAAGACAGATCTTCAGTCCCAGCTCTGATGTTTCCCAATGTACCCAAAATATAAGTTCAAATGCAGCACAACACAAACAGCTTCAGTCTGGGACACCAGTATGTGTGTTTGTTTAATTCAGCCAGTCATAAGAGCGTTTCCATTGGCCGCCTCCTCTCATGCTCAATAGTTCATTTTACACATCAGTAAAAGTAGAGTCTAAACCCGAGGTTAGCTTTATAACGGCGTTGTCAAGTTTGCCAACAGAAGAACCGGGTTTGGGTATTTCTGGGGTTTTTCTCCCACTGACAGGTGTTTGTTGATGGGTTGATTGACAGTTCTTTGAAAAGATGACCATTGGACCAAACACTGGAGTCCACTGGACTCATATTCAACCACTGGATAAAGTCAATGGTTAAAAGTTAAGATTTTTTTTTACTGATGTAAGTCGTAGTGAAAGACCACAAATCTTTCACAACATCCGTGTACAAACTATTCACATTCTCCATTTACACAAACTAATCTATATCCTGTGCAACGTGGTGACGTCGGGGCAGCTCTGCTTCTTCACAGGTCATAGGTCACAGGTGGGCATCCTAGGTTGGCTGATGACCCTGGTTTTCCTCCACTCAGTCCAAAAACCTGAGTTAAAACTAGGGCAATCTTTATTGTCAATCGTGTGAATAAATATGTGAAATTATTTAGATTAAAATGTTTAGATTAACCACAAATAAAAACCAGTGTGGAAAAAAGACTTTTTGGTCATACTTAGGAATGATGAGTTACAATTCTTCAAGATCAATCCTCAGTTTTCCTGAAAACAAACTGATTGAAATTTAATCGCAACAGTAACAGACGCCCTAGTTGAAACAATCTACGATGACCTGCGTGGACTTCAACTTCAAGTGTGTTGTCAGCATGAGTGACCCCCCCCCCCCGACCTCCCGACCTCTGACCAGCTGCAGTGATTAAAGATAAATGGATGAATGTGTATTTGGATCGGGGTAGAAAGCTGATACAGAGTTGTGGGATCAGTTCTAGACCCCACCTGTCCACCTGGACAGAAACACTGTGATTAAAGTGGATCATCAACATACAGGGGGCGTGGCTTGAGCGGGGGGGGGCAACATCTGAGGCTTAAGTGCTTTGAATGTCACCAGGACTAAAAAAAAAACAAAACAAAAAAACCCCATGACAAGTCCAAACACTGGTGGAGGAGATGAACCTAAAACACTTCACGATTAAAGTGTTGTTTTTCTCTATTTATTCACAAAATCTTACTACGGAGAACTATGGTGCGAAACCCAAAGCGAGAGTTGGGGTCTGTGTGGAACCCCGGACACTATGGATGAGGGCTGAACGAGGGTTATGAGTGACTGGTCTTACTGCTGTGAGTCCTCTCCTCCTCTTCATCGGAGGAGTCCCCTCCGTAGGGCACCAGCCCTGCTGCGTCTTCCACTGCTTTAAACTTCTTCCCATGAGCGTCCTCTGGAACACCTGTGAGAGAGGGAGCAAGGGAGAAGGAGAGAGAAACAAAGAGAGACAAACAGGCAGGAAGGGAGTTCGGAGAGGTGAGAGACAAGGAGTCGGGGGTGGAGAGGGGCGGGACAAAGCAATCGAACAAAATGAAAAAGAAAACCCAATCAGGAGGCCCATGTTAGAGGTGGGTTTTTAGTCGGTTTGATCCGTAACGGCAGCACGTCACACGTCCATAACAGGCCGGTCCAGAGACACATGTTGAGAGAGAGAGAAAAAAAAAAGAGAGAGACAAAAAACATATACAAGAAAAGTGTGTCAGTGGGTTCCACCAGCTGAAAGGGTCACACAGGTCTCCACTCCTCCCCCATTCCTCCAAGGGGGGAGATTCCATTTCATGCAACTGACAACTCCACAGAAGAAATGTCAGGATTCCTCAGAATTGGAGGAAATGAGTTCATACATACCCGTGAACCCGGCGTCACCGCATGGACCGGTCGCACCGTCCGTCACGCCTTCCCTCGGCCTTTTTCTTGGAGCAGGAGCAGGGACCGCGCAGAAGGGCGGCGGTGGAGGAGGCATGAGAATCCTGGGGTGGGAAAACTGTCGGAGTTAACGCCGCACAATAAAAATGAATAACACACAAAGGAAATGAGATCTATTCACAGACCTTTCTGCAGCTCTTTCCTTCCCAACGCTGGTGGCAGGAAGTGCAGACTCCTGAGGAGCAGCAGCCTCTGCAGAGCAGCTGGGTGGCTGCAGGAGGGCAACAGAGACTCATTAGACAAAGAAAGTAACATTGAATTACCACACCAGCGGCAGTTAAGTGTGAATGAGTCCTCAGTTTTAGTTTTACTGGTGTTTTACTGAGGCCAAACAGGTCCATGAAGCCGAGCCCTCTCTGGTTTAATGATCTGTTTTACGACGACCATCCTCACTTTGGCTACGACAGAAAAAAACTGCTTTTTAAGTTAAGTATAATTTCTTTAATCAAGTGTTTAATCTGTCAGATGACCAAGGATGGAGGTTTTCTATCAATTGTTCTCCCTCGAATATAAAGCATACATTTATACACATTTTTGACTGTCTAAAACTTCACAAAAAAAACAAAACAAATTCATCTGCAGAAATGATCAACTCCATCAGCTTTAGCTAATTATATTTTCACTAACAAACAGGGCTGGGTATGGCCTATCACACTACAGTGATCCTGCGATAATTGATTTATTGCAGTAAATTTCATCCATGTTCTATCACCATATCTGTGTCTGTGACTGATGGTGATTTTCTCCACTAACCTGCTCCTCCTCTGCTGCCTCCTGGAACTGATGTTTGGGACTTGGCGAGTCAGGCGGGGAGCTTACAGATCCTTCAGACTCCACGTCCTCACTGACGCTGCCAGACTCCTTAATTAAATCCAAACCAGTATTTAGACCCTAATAAACAGTACAAGGACTTCTAAAAACAACATGAAATATACAACTAATGAATTCCAAGCATAAACTGCTAAAAAGAAATCCAAACAGAAAAAATATTTTATCATTTGAGGACATAACCAGGGTTAAACAGCTTATTTTAAGTGTTTTTTCTTTAGTAAACATGACATTATTTTTTAATTAGAACCAAACCAAACACGGTAAACTAACCTGGACCAGGTAGGGATGTGGTTTCCGAGAACACACCGGATACTGAACCATTGCCTGAGAAGATTGAGGGTTTGTCGACATGTTAGATTGACTTGGTGGACCATTTGCATTACTCCAATAACCATGGTCCTCTGGATAGGCTGAATAGGCCCCAGCATAACCATTAGCAGGGTAGTTATACCAGGACCGCTGGTTAGAGTAATTGCTATTAGTGGGATATCCATGTGCTTGGTATGCTGAAATGAAAGTACAGAGTGTGGAGTTAATTTACTTTTCCGACTAGAGCATACAAGACGTGGATCAATGTCAGGGTGGTGTCCCACATTTGACCCGCTATTTTAAACCTATTGTTGAGCTACTGCTGACGTCAAAAGACCCATTACCGTAACAGTGAGGAGGAATGGGATCAGTGAGGACGTGGTGTTTGGTGTCTGTGGTGAAATCTGTTTGGCCTGTTTGCTTACGAGGTCAAAACAATACTCACATTGTGTTGAGCCGCTGTACATGGACATCGTCCGGCCCTGTTCAGCTCTGACCTGAAAAAAGACAGAAATTTAAAGGACAGTTCCGGAGTAAAAGGACACCTAAATAGATATCTATATAAATGCTGATTTGTTTTTGTCTTAATTGTCGGCAGGTGCAGAGCACACAGAACCTTTGTCTGGAGATCAGGTGGTTCACACTACCGTATTCACTTTTGGAGGCGAGTATCGGTGAAAAATATATACTTCAATATGTTCACCTTCTTTGACCTCCGTTTTAAACAAAGGCAATTCATTGACTACATGTGAACTTACAGTTTCCAGCAGACTCTCAGTCAGCTTCTTTGCTGCCTCCAGTCCGACTGAGTTTGGGTGGCTAAGAACAAATGGAGAGAAATGAGTTTTGGAGTGAGGGAAAGTGACATATAATACTTATATACATATATATCCACATATATAGCCTCGTATACATAAATATATACGTAAACCTTTAGCTTCAACAACAAAGTAACCATAAAGAAATCAATTATCAATAATGTCCCAATTGGGAAATTACCAAATATGCAGAACGGCCTTTTAAAAAAAACAAAAAACAAAAACCACCATACCTTATGTAAACATAAAGAGGCTCAAATGACTCTCGCTTTGAAGCTTGTTCGATGTAGCCGGAGCCTTTCCCCCTGAGGAAGACGCGAGCCCCCGTCTCAGTTTGGATGTGACCCAAGTACGAACCGCCCGGACCTTCAATCTTCTCGTTAACGTTAAAAGAAGGCGGCGCTTGGTCGAGACCCACGAAAATCTTTGTGTGCACAAAACTCTGAAAGACAGAACATTTTTCATTCGCCTACAAATAAAAACTCAACAAGATTTAACTGGACAGACAGGAGACGTGAACTGAATGTCAGCAGATGCAGTGATCTCAGGCCTGTCTCTGTAGACCAGTGATGTTCTCTCTGCTTCTTACTATAGGAGGTGGGTATCAGTGAAGGCAACACACACTTCACTTGCCACACTTTCTTAAACCTCCAGAAAGCCTCTTCTGACACAATGAAAAAAATGGGGGACAGAGCTACTTTGTCTACCACTCTTTTAGGGTTAAGGTTTAGAAGACCAGGGCCACGTGCACCTACCCCTGTATGTGGAGCTGCGGGTCGGTGTCCCTGCCCCACCGCTGGGTTTGCGTTTGGCATCCGTGGCACAACGGGAACAACAGGCCGAGGAGGCTGAGGGTACAGAGTGAGCGGAGGCATCACGGGCACCTGTTGACCTCCCGATGCTCTCATCACTTCTTCAGAGATGATCTCCTTTATCCTCATCACAGCCCCTGATGATGACAGAAACATGTAAACAGTTCATCTACTTCCCACAAGAAGGAAAAACTTTCAAATAGATTAATTTGAAATTACAATAAAAACCACCGTTGTCAGAATCTGCCCACAGAGTAAAATAAAACAAAACAGTGCTACTTACTGTTAACTTCATCCTGTGTCTTTCCTTGGACATGTAAATACAACGGTCTTTGACTAAAAGATAGAAAGAAAATAGGTTGTGAAACTACAGAACATCTTAATAACCAAATGTAACTTTTTGACCTGTGTAAGAAGTTACTGTAGGTGATAAATACAATTACAATTTCAAGGATGTAATACATGTGTCAACTCATATTTTTCATAGTTTCGTACAGCAATAACAGCATTTTGTACACAGTGTACCAACTCTGGAAATATATGACTCTTCAAATACTGCCAAAATGGCCGATATTCCAAATAAGATTATTACCCTAAAACTGTAAAACAAAAAGCTCTCTAACAAGAAAGAATACACACCAGCCTCATGTTACAAGTGAGTGGGTCACCAAACCCAAGTTATTCCTCTTTGTACCACTGGAGGGAGCCCAGGTACCACAAGAGCTACATGTACCACAGTTTTAAAACCACTAACTTGACTTATTGGCTATGCTTCAAAGCAGTCTTTAAGCTATGAGAGCCATAACTGATAAAACTGTAGTATGTATTGTTCACATTATATAAAAACAAGTCATTGTAAATGTAATAACTTGCTGACCAGAAACAACATTAAAGCCTTTATACACACCCGACTTTGGGTTTGTCTACATCACACATGAAGTGACCCTTTGTTGTGACGACTGCTCCAGTCAACTGTCGGATCTGCAAAAAGATAAAACATTTTTTAGAAAATAAACAGAAAAAATCCCACGGTTCTTTTATACTGTAAACAACACACTTACTTCTTCTTGTGTTTTTCCTTTGGTGAGAAGATCCCTGCAGTCCAGTGGTACATCATTAATGTCCACTTCGGTGATAACCAACTCTTCCGTAGGGGGCGGGATAGGTACACTCTGAGGGACCTGAGGCACATGTTGATCCACATGGGAAAAAAAGTTAGTCTCCTAATTATTGCACAAATACATTACAACGATGTAGATCATCTTTTAAAATAAACGCACCTTTTTGAGCAGGGGTGGGGGAGTTAACAGCTTTCCTTTAGCCATCAACATGGCGTTTATTTTAGCTGCCATGGCTGCAGCCATCTCAACCCCTCCCTGTGGCATAGGTGCATCTGTTCCTGTTTGCTGTGGTCGGGAAAGGGCATTGTTTGGACCAGCAGTGCCAATAACTCCAGATAAAGACACAGACTGGGCAGCATTTTCACTGCTTCTCTGCTGCCTCACATCTACACTCTGCTTAGGCTGAGCTGGTTGATCCCATCGGCTGTTGAAGCACCTGAGGAAAAAAAATGTAATCAAATTTTGCTGTAAAAGATATTTCATAACCTGTGAAAGACAGGTAAGAAATATATAAAATAAAACACAAAACAGTACAGTGTCAAGAATTTAAGGAGAAAAGTTTGTGTTTTAAAATATACTGAATGTACACTGCTGTGCAATGCATTTTGAGTGATCAGAAATCATTTACTAACTAATACTGATTAAGTTAAAAATCCAATGACTGATTTGATGTGAACAAACACGTTAAAAGGTTTAATTAAAAATGTATTTAAAAAGTACTTTTTGTCACGACTACATTAAGAATACTTTCCAACTTATATCAATTCTTACACTTGCATAAAATCAGAGTTTGTAGGATTATAGCGCCTCCACGGTGTGCAGTTTTTGCAGATTGTGAGTTGGAATGAAAACTGTGTAAAATTCGTTGACTGCAGCTAGAAATGTACGTACAATGCGAATCGTTTTTCGTCAAAAAGTTTTACGGGGCATTTTTATTTCCTCTGATTTTCAATTGCATATTAGTGTGTTTTTGAGATATTTAATTTGCTCAATTGTTGAGACGAGCGAAAGTTAGCTACCGCCATTAATGCGTTAAAGGCATTAAGTCCAGGAATGCTACCAAATAGATTCACGTTAGCACTCAATACATTTTACAAATTAGTCGAATGTGATAGTTTTGTTTATAATTAAATCTGCATACACACAAAAACATTTATTCGCTCTAAAAGTTTATCCCCAAAATGCTAACATTCCTTAGCCTGTTCGTTGGTAGCTAGTGCTAGCGCCTCACACACTGAGGAGACTGTTTGTTCGCGCCTCACACACTGAGGAGACTGTTTGACAGTTTGTTTAGCCGATGTAGCTTTACACAGTTTTTCTTTTAAATTTAAACATAAACGATAACTTACGGTGTTTGTCCGGTCATTCCCGAAGACATGGCACCGTTCCAACCAATTTAACGAGGCGAAAAGCAGTTCCTAACACAGCAAGACGATAGACACTATTAACCAACAACCATTTCTCTCTGAAATGACGACAATCAGATTCCGCTTACGACTGCCGTAAAATATAAGCTAGCGGAAGTTTGGTTACGTATTTCCTTTAAATGCTGCCATGTCACTTTAGTGATATTTTGTAAAACATAAATAATTTAAAAAAGCACGTTGCTGAACATAAATACTCCAGTTATAACAATAATGTGAAAATATTTTTTTCTGTAAAACGATTTATTACAATGAGTAGATTTCCTCTGAATCGGCCAGCATGATTATCATGTATATATATTTGTAACAGTAACACAAAAACAAACAGCTACTTAAATACGACCTATTTTTTTTTAGATCCATATCATTTGTTACCATTACTTAGCAAGTGTTCACTTACTATTTTGTTTGCGTCTTGAGGTTAGCGGTATTGCATCACTTATTCCAACTAATCCAAAGGTTGTGAAAAATCAAATATATTAATGATGATGGTTTACCAAGGGAGTTGTGAAATAATTACAACAAATGGCAGCACTATATTTGACATTATTTTTTATTTTTCATTGAATCGTTTCTAACTTTTTTTTTTCCGTGCCTTCAGACCAAAATGTGAATCAGAAGGAACAAACTAATCCTCTGATTGAGTACAATTCTGTCATACAAGAGAAACAAAGACAACCATGGTCAACGCATCTTGTTAACCATCATTTGCTTAGCTGTTATGGCATTTATATACTGTTTAAAGAGGAAGTATTCTTAATAAGCAACATTGTTTAACATATATTAGTATCCTAATTTGAAATCAACCTTTAACAAAAAGCTGTTCCATGAGTCTGTGCATAAGGGTGCTGGACAAGTGGCCAAAGTAGAATGACGTTTGATTCAAAATCAATGCAAGCTGGCCGCTAGGGGACTCGAAAGACAGTGATAGACAACTCAGCGATCCACATCCTTCTTAACCATTTCGTTCTCTGTATACGTGCTCTACGTCGCCTTCCAATTCACAGGTATTCAGATAGCTAGAATGGCTGATCTCATTTGCTGCAAATCCAGTGTAAAATTCATTGTCTATAAAAATATTGAGATTTACTTGAACATAACCTTCTGTCTAAGTTATAATAAAAACTCCAGATGTCCGTTGCGGTTGCACAGTGGGATGTACTGTATAAATATTGTATAAAATAAGGCAGTCTTTTCAGTAGGACAAACCAGATACAAAAATTTCTGGGAGAAAAAAATTTTTCAAGTCCAAAATGTTTTCACATATTTCTGCTGTTGTCAAATGTCAACCAGTTTACAGCATTAAACCAAGAGTATAGGTTTTGTTGCAACAATGAATGCACCCACTCACACAGCCAGACACCCACCCACATACACGCACGCACACGCACTCACTCACACACACACACTTACACACCACCACACAAACTCCTGATGATTAACAATAACAGCTTATTTTCCGATGCAACAACCCATCCCTGGACGAATCACTGAGACGTAGACATGTCTAATATTGTTTACAGTGCAATACAAAATTTTTCATTCAAACCGGTACTTAACTTTGATAAGAAAATAAAAAGTTCTAATATGGTAATGCTTCATATGAATAATAATTGTAATTATTTTGAGAGCTATGGTAGTATGTCTTCATCAGCTTTGGCTTCTCTTTCTCTATTTGTTTAAATTCATTTTTGTTCTTATTTTTTTATCAACTAATTTCTTTATTATTTTAACATAGAAAATATGGAACATCTAGGAAAAAAAATGAACATACCAAATCATCTGTAATTAGTTACCTATGATCATGATATTGAGGTTTGTGACTCTCAGCAGTGGCCTAAAGTAAAGATCCACTTCCTGACCCCCGACTCCCCGTGTCCATAATGACAGCTACATGTCAACGTAGATGTGTTGCTGAAGAACACATGAGAATATTGCCAAAAAAAGCAGTAGAGTGTTCTTTCATGGTTTGTCCTCTAGGGGCAGTAGAAGAAGTTCTGCCTGGCAGCGAGCACAGGTATGCAGATCAAAGGTGATCATGTGGTCCGACCAGGACTGGACTACTTTCAAGTCCAGACCGCACTGTCATCCACTCCTCCCTTCTCCTTCTGTAAACAAGCAGTTTTCACTACCCAGCCAGCTAGCAGGCAAACAGGTGAGCCCACATACTGAACAGTTGACGGACACTTAGCCCGGAGGCCGTTGAGGAGCTTCGCTCAGTTATGTCACGTGACCAGCTCCGCTGTGGACGTCAGACAGGCTCAAAAGTTCAAAAGGACGCCGATTGTGTCGTGCTCTGCGCTCAGTTCTGGTCTGACGGGCTGATGAAGCCAGTATTGTTAACTGCTGCAACTGCCTGTCAGGAAGTCCTTCTGCGGTTTCCGCATCAGTGGATGAGTGGACGCTCGGCGTGCTACAGAAGCAGGGTAAGTAAGGGCGAGGAGGACCTTTGGCTGGCTGACTGGCACAGGGAGAGACGCCCCAACAGGAGAGAGGACGGAAGCAGATTCCCAGGGCCCGCGAATGCAGCAGTTACTCTGGAGGCGGTCGCAGACTGTGTAGCTTCCTATCGTCCAGGCCTTTCCAGTACTTGAAGTTATTGTCCAAATGCTGCATAAGATTGGGGAGGTCTGCAAAAGCTGGGAGTTGAAGAGGGTTAAAGCTGAGATTAAGCTCATCCGACTGGAGATCACAAACTCAAAGCACTTACTTCAACAACAAGAGGGTCAGGGGAGGGGTCACAGACTACATACATGATTTGTCAAAATTCACAGAAGACAACTGAACGCAGCAATGCCTTAAAAGGGACGACAGTCAGGAGAACGATCAGATTTGGCTGACTGTAGCTGTGGTCAGCTCGGATTTTTGTGCTAACTAGTCTAACTAGTTGACTGGCAACAACTGCAGTCTGGTGCTAACTTTGCCCAGCAAAGAATTCTGGGTAAAATCTCACATAAATCTTCTTGGGTGTCCTCAGCTTCAGTTTTCCTTTAAAACAGAAATCTTAAAATAGTAGCTAATGTGGCGCATGCTAGCAGTATACATCTAAGGTCGTGCCCTTCTCTGTCAGACCTTAAATGGGGTTTTCAAAGCAGAGCCTCCAAATGTCATGTGACTTTAGTATAAAGTGTCAAAGAAGGAGCAGCTGGCCTTGTATTTTGACATGATTCAATCTGACAGAGCCTGAACATTTATTACAGAACTTTATAGATGTCTGACAGAGCCTGAACATTTATTACAGAATTTTATAGATGTTATAGAACGCCCCGTGTGGTCTTACCGTCCCATGCGTCAAACATGTCTGTAATGAAGTAGTCTATGAAGGAAATCTGGGACTTTGGGATGCTACAGGTGTTCCTGTCAAACACAGGCATAACCACCGGGAGACCTTGTCTCTTCTCCTCGTCCGTCTGCACCGGAGATGGAGGAAAAAAAAGTCATCAACAAACACAAGAAGAGAACACAAAAAAAAACACAACACCAGCCCGAGCTGCACCACGGAGCGTTCACGTAACAACATGGTGTCCTCACAGTACCTGTGCAAAATACTCCTCTGAGATGCGTCCAGCCCACTCTATGCAGAGCTCCTGTGGCCTGCAGGGGTTGGAAATGTCAGCGCACTTGATCAGCATCCGCTTGACGAGGATGCGGTTCTCAGGTGAC